ATGGAAAAGATGCAAGTGAGGGAAAAGTGGACGCAATTAGGTGACATGAGATGCACCCAAAGTGAGGGAGAAACTAACAGGTGTAAACAATAATAATAATCAAGGTGGGAGAACAATCCAACTGGAAGGAAAAGAGACAAAGACGTAAAACAAGACACAGGAGAATGAATCTTACAAAATAAAACAGAAAATAGCACAAGACAAACTGAATACATCATAAAACAACATTAAAGTTTATGATAGTCGTGACATTCCTGAGAGCTACATAATATTAAAAAGAGAAATGCTCATCTCTTTGAGAAAGTCAGACTAATTTCCAGCTTCCCACAAACACTTAAAACACACAGAAAAGGTCCCACTAATCACTACGTACAGGTCCAAACACGAATTAACCACAAATAGATAAATAACTTCAATAGCATAATTCCATTAAACATTTTTTAACCTCATTTATATGCAAAAATAAAAACAGAAACAGAACAGTAAAGCATATAAGTATTTTGCATTCACTGCATTTAATATTACTTACTGTAGAAATTTTAGATTTATTGGGTTTTACAATTTAGCTCCTTTTTGTAGCTTAAACTCAAAACTTTAAGCCTAAAACCGATTAGTTCAATATACACCTTTCTTAGTTAAACATATCACACTCCAGCACATGACTGTACTTATAATATATAACATATAATTTTACCTCACTGTCCCCTAATAACTTGGTTAGGTATAGGTACAAAATCTGAATATGTTTTCAGGAAAGATCTACTTATGTAACTAAAAATGAGTCAATGAGTCGTCATATGTTGAAGCAGAGGGCCACTGACCACTGAGACTGGACTGCAACATCACTACAGTTCAAAGCAATCTGACCTGAAAGTTTCCTGAAAACCCAACCAAGAAGCCTGGGTGAACAGCCTCATTGAATCTGATAGGGAAGTTGTGGAGGTGACTCACTGCGTTAGAGGAGACCAAACAGTAGGCCAGAGTGCCAGACGGCCAGTCCAAATACAGTCGTATTCTTTTAAGGTCAGAGACACTTTAAGGTCAGAGGACACATTTAAACAAAGCTTTTTAGCAACCGAAACCAGTTCTTGGATACTAGTCAGAAATCCAGCAACTGTCACCATGTCCAAGTGAGCCCGTGTGTTTTTTCTGATTTCTTGATATGTGAAACCTGCGCGAACCAGACCACTGTCTGACACCCTCCCAGTATTGGTGCCCACTCAGCGGCACTTTGCACAACACCTGCTGGTAACTGTCAAACCTCTCCGGTTGATCTTGATGTGACTGCTGTTTTCCAGATTTATGTTGCACTCAGAAAGAGTCAGGTTCAGCTGTGCAGTGTCTGGGTCTGGGGTAAGCTCACAGTCATCTGATGGAGAAGCCAAGACATAATCTGTCACCAACCATCCTCAACACCATCCATACTGCAATGTACAGTTAAAGTGTCTGAATTGTGACAGTCAGTGAGGTTAAAAATTGCGAATAAAGGCCTGCACGTTGTTTAACTTGTGATAATACATTTGTTTGTGACGTTTTGGTGCAAGACCTTCATCAGGCAAAAAGTCAGTGAGTGTAAACCAAATGTCATAAGCACCACAAACTGCAGTCAGTTGAATCAATGCTTCACTAAAGAAGTTTCATCAGAACCAATAACCTTTATAAAGATAGGATATTGCAGGGCTGTTGCATAAGGGCCAACGCCCACGCAAGGGCAGCCAACAGTGATTTAGAAAGAATGTGAGCTGTTAAAAGTTTGAGTAACATTTCTAGCCTCAGGACTGACAAGCCAGAAGAACCCTAAAAAATAATTAGAGTTGAATAAAATAAGAAATGTAAAGGTAGACCCAATAGCTTTTCAAATGCCAAAACATGTACAGAAGGCAGAATAAGTTTACAGCATGAAGAGAACTTAAGAACTCTACTGACTAATACCCCGTTCACACAGGCCACCTGAGCAGCTCATGGCGTCTCCACCCCTATATTTTCCAATACACTTTTCCCTGTATAAGGTCCATGAAATATCAGCTGTATAGTTTAAACATCAATGTGAAGAGAGGTAACCAGAAAGCACGAGTGGTTTGTGAGAGAGAGGAAGAGAGCGCAGTGGAAAGATACTGCCCTTCATCCGGTTTACTTCGGAAATTCTTTCACAAGTGAAGTTGCGCTAAATAAAAGATTACTACAATGCTTTTACTTTGAAAAGGAAGTTTAAACTGTATTGAAATATGTGGATATGACTACCAATAGACCCTTTCACTGTCCTCTTTTGCTGGGAGAGGCGCACAGCTCACAGTAAGAATAGATGAGACCTTGGGGAGCCCGGATAGCTCACCTGGTAGATCTGGCGCCCCATGTGCCAAGGCTGATGTTTAAAACAGTGAGACAGAAACTGAATTTGTGCATCCGCAGACCTGTCGAAACATAATCCACAATCCAAAGCACCTCGTATTTTGAAACTTATTCTCCATTCCCTTCTCATGTCTGTTTTGGGCATGGTACAGGTACTGACATGTGTTTCCAGATTTTATTAATAACAACACAAGTGTGAACCTGAGTACATGTGAGTACCATTTTGAAGCTTCAAGTTCTCATAAGGTTAAATACAATCTGACTTATTTTTGTAAAGAATGCAGTTGCCCCCTGTTTGCCATGAGAGAAAATGAAGGTTTAAGGTACTGCATACACTCACTAGTCATTTACACTATTTACTAAAATATGAAAAAAAAGCGTATCCTGTAATCTTGTGGGTTTAAAGGTGAGCAACATATGATTCATAATTTGCGGCCCTACTGTGTGCTAGTCTATTGGTAAAGAGAATTGAGGGGATCCTCAATAGAGACAGGAAATATCCGATGAATGTTCTTAAGAGGTATTTGGATTCAGGTCGTAATCAGTCAATGGTAATTTCATTACACAAAGGTCACAGATAAAAAAGGGCTGTTCTCGTACTGGCTCATACTCAATAATGATACAGAGCAAATGACTTCTTAAAAGCTAACAGCAATAATGACAATGAACATTTAATTCAATAGTTTGAACCCTGTAACAATAACCAGTATTGCTTTCTAGTAATTACATAATATGTAAATAAAATACTGACCATATGATAGGATATGTTCACATGAACAGTCCAACAATGTCTTCTACACCTGTTCTACAACATGATGGAAAAAGAGAAAGGTAATTATTAAAATGTATGCAGACAGAATTCCGCAGTGTCTCTCACACTTGACTTTGTCAGTCAATGCAAAATTAGCAATATAAAAAAAAAGCTGTGAGGCAAACATGCACGCAGACATTATCTGTGAGACAGAAGCATGAAACAGAAATATTACAGGTGTCCAGGAGGCACAAGGTGGGAATATCTGACAGGATATAATATATCTTGCTACATCACACCATCAGACTTGAAGCTCCAGTTGAGAGTCAAGATGACTCAGATACTTTCACCTGGTGATAGATGAATACTGGGACTTTTAGTGAACTCCAGTCTATGTTTGTTGTCACTGTGATCAACTTGTAGCACACATTTTGATAACATGTATGGTTTCGGCTTGACCCATATAGTTGGATATGTCTTCAGATATCTTGATAATGGCTGGTCTGGGTCGACCTTTCACTGCAGGGATGCAGTATGACGCTCATCGAGAGAAGCTGATCCCAGGTACATTTTTTAAGTAGAAGACTTTATAAAGTCGTACTATTTATTTAATCAGCAGAAGTCAGATACGTGCTGACAATGTCCACAAACTATGTTCACTCACTTTTTGTAGCACAATACTCTTTCCTCACCTTCCTATATGACACATAAATACATTCTACCGGGTGAGGAATGGAATAATGTGTAGGTTCTGCAAAATCTCAGACTTTTTGTGATGACCATCTTTAAACACATCACTATCAATTATTCAGATTTATATAATTGTTATGTAAAGTCCTCTACAGTGGTTCCCACGGGGGTCACCAAAGCTTTGTGTGGGTGTAAGAGAACTTTAAAAATATACACAGTAGGCCTATATCTTAGCATTTGGTTTATTTTTGTGAAGAAGAAACTGTTCTACAGTGCAAGATTACATTGTACATTAGATAATGTTATGTACTGTAATCAGGTACTAAAAATGAGACAGCAGTTTAAAAGAAATCAACCACAGTATTTTTAACTCTTGAACTCCACTGACCCCAAGTGATTATAGAGTCAGATCTACAATATTGTTTATATGTCTTTAATGTCATACACTCTTTTAATTATTTACTGAAAACAACTAAAGATTAAAGCTGTGTTTGCATAAGATATTTAGAGTGGATATTGGGGGGTATTTATGTATAGTTTTGTATATAGTTTCTTCTAGTTATAATTGTGGAGACAAAAGGAGACAACTTACTTCTAAATCCCATTTCTAACACATTTAAATCAAATGTATATGCACGTACAACAAGTACAGGACAATAAAGAATAAGAAGTAAAACTAAACAATAATTTGAAATTAGAAAGGAATAATAATAAATAATAAAGTAAATAAATAAATACAAAGTAAAATACCCTAAGTCAGTGAACATAAATATTTTTATGCACAAAAAAAGATTATACAATATAATATATATATAGTAATATGATACTGTAGGATGACCACAGGAGCTGCTGATGACTCTGTGTTAAAAAAACATGAACTTAAGTAACATCTAATCAGTGCTAACATTAGCTAAGCTAACACTTCCACTTTCTGAGTGGAATACAAACTTAACAGCCTGATGGGTCCTTCCAAATGTTGAATGAGGTCACATGTAGCCACTGATGACAGCAGACATCATGTTAAAATCCATGTGGAAGCAAATATTACCTTCCTCTGTGTTCTTATACTGTGGAGAATGAAAGTTATATAAAGTCCTCTGAGGATTTATGATGTATCGCTGTAGTGTTCTTTGCATTGTTCATAAATGAGCTCAGAACCTTTGGTACAGTCAACTTTTGAATGTACAGGAAATAAAATAGCACACAGTGGTAAACTCAGCTCTCTACTTTATTGAATATTCTGCTCAACATTTCCAACAGGTTTCACAGGAATCTGACATTGCTTCAGCTCTACAAACATCAGCAGTGTACTTAACATCTAACAAAGTGATTCCCTCCTCAGAGTGGTAAAGCCATTAATTTAACCCCAGGTCATGTTTAAGACACACATGTGACAAAATGATTCCTTTTATATTCTTTAAGGTTACATATGATATATTTTTAGGCTGAGCTGAACAAAAAGAAAAGAAACAAATGCTAAGTTAAAATATTTGCACTTTAACTACCTTATGTCCCAATATAACCAACATCTCACATTCAACTAAAGCAATATCAATATTATACCATTATTGTGAGTATCTTTTTCAACATTCTGCTCTTAAGAAAGAAAGAAAACTTGTGTATCAGTATACATATGTTTAGGTATTAGAATAGAAAGTTACAATTAAAAAAAAACATTATTGATGAATCAAGCAATGCAAACTGATTATGAAGCTGTGAAGAACATTTTGAGAAGAAGGCTGTGCTTAGAATCATCATGAACTAATACATAGAAGTTACATGTACAGTCACTTCATTAGAATCAGTGGTCTTGGTCCATCTGGGTTTGAATGCATTTTTGAAGTTTTAAAATGTGTTCGAGCTAAACTGGGGTGTTAAGTTGTTCTTTAAACATGAAATGAAAATCCATATCCCTACAGACCAAGATCTTAGAAGTATTTGTCATTGCTCTTATTCAATTGGACACACGTACACATAATTGCCATTGTTGTAAGCATAGAAACCGGGGTATACAGGCTCATTGAATCTGGCTTCAAAGGTGTGGAGGTGAGTCAGTGTGTGAGAAGAGACATTGTAGTAGGACAGAGTGCCAGCAGGCCAGTCCAGAAACAACCCAATTCTGTTGCAGCCAGAGGGAAAAGAAACTTCCCACAACTTACCATTATGCCATGGCTCAAGTGTGTGTTTATTATTATAATAATAATCATCTGAATATTGGTGAAGAGACCAAGACATGGCATTTTTTCCAAGAATACTCTCTGCAGCGCCTGATTTTCTGTCAATTCCTTTGTATGCAACACCGATATGAAGAGATTCAGGGCAACCATTACTCCACTCTACCTCCCAGTAATGGCGCCCCTTTAACCTCTCTTTGCCCAGAACCTGAGTATGTTTATCAAACCTCTCTGGGTGATCAGGGTATGTCTGCGATGGTCCACTTGTTGCCTTTTTGTTTCCCTCAGACAGAGTGAGGTTGTAGTTAGCAGTGTTTGGATCCAGGTTGACATCACAAGCATCTGATGGAGAGACCAAAACAAAATGTGTTATTAGTTATTCTGATGGTCAAACAGGTTTCTGGAGGACAGAACATTCATATGGGGAATTTGTTACTCAAAAGCAAACATGGAAAGTGACTTACACCAGATCAAATCTCTTTTGTCTGTGATAGTCTCCACAGGAGGGAGGTCGGGCTTTGAAAAATCCTCACTGATCAGAATGCCGTCCCTGTAATGGTAGATGGTTGCTCCTCTGTATTTCTTATTTTCAATGGCTGCTACAAGGAAACAGAACCGACTGTTGTTCTTCAGTGCTTTGGCAAGATAATGGAAATCTTTGGCTTTTTTTCTCATTTTGGTGAAAACCTCATCTGAGTAGCACCAGTGGTCTTCATTGCTTCCTAATTTAGGTGATTTTAAGTAGCCAGCCATTGCATCAAGCCAGGGGTCAGCGCTCTCCAGGGAGGTGAAAACAAAGCACAGAGCATCCTCAACACCTGGAGCACGAACATCTTTGTCCAGCTTCAATTGATTTGGAACGATCTTTGTTTCCTGCATCCTTTCTACACAGGACCTGATGATGTTGATCTCTTTCTCTTTATGATCCAGCCAGCTCTTTAGTTTCTCTTTACTGAATGGTGACTTGTCTCTGTCTTCAAAGAGTTGTTTTGTTAAACTCTCATCTTCTGTACCTTCACGGATGAGGGAAAATTTCTTCGCCATGGTCTTCTTCAGGCTAGATTCATAGTCTTCACACAAGTTTCGGAATCTGTCTAACCCTCCTTTAATCTGTGGAAGATTCTCTACCACGCTGTCATCCAGACATTCGTTGTATCTCATTCGTATTTCCCTGAAATCTTCAAGAGCATCTTGTGCCTTCCTCACTAGTCCAACACTGATCCCACTCTTAAGCTCATCAGCTTCAGAATGCAAATTCTTCAATGGCATCAGCCAGACCTTCAGAGGAACAGCCTTCTCTCTCTCTTCTCCCAGTAGCTTGGGGAGTTCTGCATAGGTCTTCACTGCTTGTTCAAATGTTGCAGGGTTGCTGTCAAGAATGAAGTCTCCGTAGAATTTGCAGGAGAATTTGTTGGTCAGCTCTTTTTCTTCATCAGTCAGCTTGATGTCAACATTTCCCTCAATATTGAATGAGGGGATTTTCTTTATCACAGCTTCCATGCTACCCTCGATGTTCTGAACACTGCTGACATCTAACTTCTGACTGTCAAACACAAAGAAAGCATTTGCCCCATAAAGGATGCCTGTGACTACATGTGTTGCTGAGGACTTCTTAATAATATCTATCTGCTGGGGGTCCTTGCATTCAAGGTGAGTCACTGACAACTGCTTGAAGGTGGTGGTAGCGTTGTACTGAAATGTCACTCTGCTCTGATTCTTGTATTTCTTCGTATCATTCAGATATTCAGCAGATCCTCCAACTTCAATCAGTCCACCCATGAAACTGGCCTTCAGAGAAGCGTTAATATCCAGCAGAGAGGACTTGGATTCAATGGTGTCTGATGCAGAAATGTGAAATGTACTGCCCTCCTGAGAGGTTACTTTATGAGTTTCTTTATCCCATAATGTCACACCTGTAGAAATTGGAGAACATCAGTCATCTGATAAAGCAGGAAATATAAAATCACTCAAAGCTAATCATTAACAAGGAAGGAAATATAAGATTGAGGGTTTATGGTAACAATATACAACATAAGTGTAATTGCGCAACAACAAAACTTTGTGCCTGTAGACTTTTAAAAAATATTTAAAATATTTAAATATTGCATTCTTTGAAAACACAATGAGCATTGTCGTCATTAATACAAATAAAATGCTCTCAGGCAAACAAAGGCATGGACCAGAGAGCACAGGAGAGAAGACAGCACACACAAACTTTGCGAGAGAGACACACACATATACATATGTATATATAGACATATTACGGAAGTAAAAGTTTTTTGAGTAAACAACAGACCTATAAAAACCTATGTTCGATGCAAAATAAACAGAGCTGTTCATTTGGCAGGATGCTCTCCAAGCTCCCGGGGCTTGAAATGATGCTGTACCTTTTTTGTAATAAAACCTTTTTTATATACAATCAAGACGGTGTCAGTGGACTTCTCTTCAACACATCTTCACATTATCATTACTTAATATACAGTAAATCACATCAATCACTGATCTATGAAGGCCTGAATGAATGAAGTGATTCTTACAGTATCAACTGTCCACAGCAGTGTTATATTGTATAAAAAGCTTCTCCTTCAGGTCATGAAGTCCCGGATATGTTAAGTTGTTTTGCCGCGCCAGAGCGCAGTGTCTTTATGCACGACTCGCTGAGTTTACCTTCATTAAATCGCCTTAAAATGACAGCAGACAATATAACCATACAGAGCTCTACACACATCAGACTGGTCGGATATCACTCAATATTCTCCTTTTAGTGAAGGAGGTTACCAGGGCTAATCATAGCCTCATCCAACTTTCTGTTTTGGCAAACGCAGCGTCTCATGTTTTATCCATGAAACACAATGCAATGCAAACACTGACATTAATTACTGAACTATATGACCATGTACAAGGTGAGATACATGATAATTATTACTTTAAAAGCTTTAATAATACAAGCGGTTTCCAAATCAAATCAGTGTCTCTATTTTGATACAGTATTTAATAATGGCCACCTGTGATCTATATTCACCTTCGCCCAGCCCTTTTGCAGGTTGCGCTGCTGAACATACATGGACCGAATTAGAAGGTGCACATTAAGACAACCATGCAGTCCGTGCGCCTATAAGACCACCTTGCACTTGACAAAAACCTTGGCTGCAATGCATGTTTGCAACGTTGTAGAACCAGGCCTGAATATTAAAAGAGTATAATTACATATTATTTAAAGTGGGGCATGTGCCCTTCCAGCTTAAATGGGCATGACTGGACTGTCTTGAAGCAATATCGTAAAGATATCACACACCTAAAACAATAAGATGGCGCAGTGCCTTGATGATGTCATATTTCATTCCATATTTTAAAGTTTCATATTATATATGTAATCATTTCTTTATCATGGCATTCCATAATATATATATGTATGTGTGTGTGTGTATATATATATATATATATATATATATATATAGAGAGAGAGAGAGAGACACAGAGAGAGAGAGAGATAGAGAGAGGGTTTTTTTTTATAAGAGTGTAGTCCAAGTCAAAACTTACCTGGGATCAGTTGATCTCTCCGAGCATCATAGAGCATTCCTAGGGTGAAAGGTCGACCCAGGGCTGCAATTTTCATGTTATCTGAGGCCATTTCAACAACCTGTGGAGAAATGTAAAGTCAGTGACCACAGAGCCTTCAATACTTCATTTAAAATGTATTATCAGTATGAGTGTTGAGACTGTGTTGAGAGAAAATAGACAGGATGACAAAGATAAGAAACAGAAAGACAGACCGTTTACTGTGCTTAGTATTTCCCAGGAGACACTAATGTGACAGTGATAGCTGTAAACAGACTGGAGTTCAGTAAAAGTCTAAAGATATTTCTGTTTTTGTCACCCTCTGTCTGTCCACCCAGTTTGTCCTCACCTGGTGAAGTTGTGTAGATCAGTTGAGTTGTGTAAGTCTTCTTGTCTTCCAACTGGAGCTGTCAGTCTGATCATCTCTGATATCTGCGAGATTACTTATATCCTCTCAAATACTCCTCCCATGACACTCCTCCAGACATGACTACAAGTCCGGACAGATAAATGAGTGTGCGGGGGAATGTTAGGTAACTACAGAGCAGATTAAGGGAAATGGGAACAGGTGGGTGGATGGGTGGGGCAGTCAGGTGATGGGGAAAAGAATGATTGTCCGTGACCATCTGGTGGATGGATGGAAAATGGCAACGAGGGGGCCTTGAAATGGGAACTGGAGAAAGAGCACTTTAGCTTGGAGAGAGAACAGTTGTTATTTGAGTGGCTACAAGAGGTGTTTTGTCATGGGGAAGAAAAATACTCAAACCATTTTTCCAGTGAGGACAGTCTGGATCATGACACTTGTGTACAAAATAAACTTTTACTAACTTTTTCCTAATAAGACCTGGTTACCAGTATACGTGTGCAGGACTGTCACATCACAACCCGGGGTTCATTTAACTAAAGCATTTTAGTTAAATGTTATTAAATGTCTCATGTCACTGATGACAGCTAAGATTTTATTCACTGTTTTACTGGTTCTTACTGTTGCATGGTATATTTTTCACACAATATTCATATTAGCTGTAAGTTAAGACATTATATGTAATCCATTGAGGTTTAACGTTAATGTATGAAACTTGGCGACCCAAAGGGTGGGTACAATGAAATTACTCATTCTCTGATCTGTACCAAAGCAAAAAGAAGCATTAAATAAAAGGACAAGAACAAACTTCTTGTCAAAGAAGGAAAATTGAATAAACACAGTAAACAAAGGACGTAAAGTGAAACAACCAAATAGCTCCTATCACTTGTCTCTGAATGTGATTTTTAACCTTTGAATAACTTTAAATGTCTCCAAGCCATAGAGAGAGCCGGCATTCAGCGCTGGCTCAGAACACTATTCATCATGTTAAAGGAGAAGGGACAATATTCATATTAGCTGTAAATCAAGACATTATATGTAATCCATTGAGGTTATGTGTGGCTTTATGTTTAACTTTGTGTTTATTCTATCTCAATGAGAGATTTCTTAAGAACTGGGTATGGGTCCAAGAGGCTTTTTTGTACATCTCGGCATGTTACACATGCCTACCGAGTTTCGTACATATCATTGAAACGTGGCGCCGGGGCTGTTTTTTTTTATCCTGTAGGGGGCGCTACAAACAGGACAAACACGATTTTTGGTATGTGAGCTTCCGGCACCACTCTACATGTGCCCTGTGAATTTCATATTCATAACTATTACGGTCTCCCCACAGTGATTTACCCAGCCACCAGAGCGCCACCTAGTGGCAGATTGTTGATACATTTTTTAGTGAGCCTCAGGCAGCTGTATCATCGTACCAAGTTTCATTTTAATCACACGTGCCGATGCAGAGATATAAACTTCTTCATTTTAAAGAGCGCCACCTTGTGGCGATGGCCTGAAATTGTGCACGATGCCTAAGGAAGACATGAGGAACTATGGACCCAAGCTTGGTGGCAATTGGACATGCCAATGTAGAGGAATGCTCCACTTCTTGTTTTTACCAAAATCTATAGGAAGTGCTAATTTTATAACGGGTTTAATTTTTGAAGTATCAAAATTCTTTGAAACAATTTTTTCCTAGGATGGTCCCCAAATGCTATGTGAAATGTTTCGTGAGAATTGGACAAAGTGCATAGGAAATACATGAAAAAGTAGTTTATGGACATTTTGGGCTCTAGCAAAAAAAAACTCAAGGCGAAAATGGGCGTGGCCTATATGGAGCGATTTAGCTCCATTCACCGAACGCGTTGATATAAGGTTTTTGAATGTGCGACAAAAGATGCGGAAGTTATTAGCCTAAATGCAATAGTGACAATAGCGCCACCTAGTGGCTGACCCAAAAGCGACACATAGAATATAACATTTTTCACCAGGCCTGACAACTTTGCCAGACAAAATTGAGTTTTCGTATATGTTCAGGGGGGCAAAAACGCAGTTGAAGTGGCCTGAAAATAATAAGACACATAGCAAATACAATAGGGACCTCCAGCGGTCGTTGGCTCGGTCCCTAATAACTTTGACAAAATAGTAATTTGTCACAAACCCATGAGAATAGTCTCTTCTTAACTCTGTCTAATAAACTCTAAAAGTTCATTTACAAAGCATATTGAAATGATTGGTTAGCATTATAGGCCATTTGGGTTGAAGCTGTCTTTCTGACATACAGCAAGTACTTCAAGCTGTTGCTTTTCCACACACAAACCCTCAAAGTGAAGAAAACGACTGCTTCAAGGAGGTTTTAAATGATTGTGTGTTGAACTTTAATGTATGAAACTTGACCCACCCAAAGGGTAAGTGCAATGAAATAACTCATTCTCTGATCTGTATCAAACTCTCCAACTCTGCTTATAGGCCTCCTCAGCTGAGAAGCATTAAATAAAAGAACAAGAACAAACTGCTTGACAAAGAAGGAAAATTTAACAAACAAAGTAAACAAAGGTCGTTAAGTGAAACAACCAGATAGCTCCTATCACTGGTCTCTGAATGTGATTTTTAACCTTTGAATAACTGATTTCTTAAGAACTGGCCTCAGGCAGAGAACATTAGATTTGGCAAGAACACCAGGAAGACCCGCCCTTATGTTCCAGAGAACCAGAGAAGGGGTTAGAAAAGGACATGTAATTAGATTAATTACTCTGTACATGTTTCTCACGCAGTCTAAATGAGCTATCCTTTCTCCTGTACTGTGTTTTTCTCTGCAGAATTTACTCAGGCTTTTATTACAACCAATAAAAGTCTAATTTGTTAAAGATCTTCGGCTGCTGTTGATTTCTTCTGCCACCACAATTGTTATGTTTTACAGTGTTCATTGCTTATCTATATTATTAATTATTCTTATTTTTATTGAATTTAAATGTAATTTCAGTATGTGTTGGTAAGTTTACCAAGGTTCTATATCTATTGTTCACCCTCAACAACTTCCAGAGCAATAAGTTAAAGCACAGCAATGAATATATTTGTCATTATGAACGATAGTGAACAATTTATAACCACTTTCTATATAATTTACATTATGCCGTTTCTTTCTTATGTGATGCAGTACATGTAGTAAACGAGCTGCTGAATATTTAATGTCCCTTTACTCACATTACTGTCTAATATCAAAAGCAGAAGTTTAAGTTGTTCTTGCTCTTCATGTCATGTTGGCCCACATTATCCACAAAATGAGGCTCAGCAACAATATATATTACAGCATTGTATTGCTGCTGTAGTTAGATAAAGGAGAGAGAGTAGCGCTGACTGCACACTCTGGTATTAGATCACGCTATGAAATGTGTTTTTACAGGCTTGATTAAGCTGGGAAAGATGGACACACATGTAATTTTAGGACACTGGTTGTGTCTCCAATACATTTTGAACTAATAAATCATTATGAAATAAAATAAAACTAAAATAAAATTTGTTGGTTTATACTTTCACATCTCACAACGAAGCCAGCACCGAAGACAGAGCTCACCATCATCATCATCATCATCATCATCATCATCACATTTACTCTTATTCATACAAATGAGATACAATCCAAGCCTTTGAGAATGTGGGACTGGCTTTGTGTCATTTGGTGAAATAAAAGGCTGCAGACAGACGGCAGTCAGTAATCTTAGCGTGGCTTGCTGTTGTCTTGTGTTGTTGTGTGTTGCAGAGTTGTATAATAAAAAAAGTAATAAATAATAAAACAATATTATTATTATTTAAATTGGTTTAATAATAATAATTGCATGTGTGCAGCTGTCCATATTTATAACAGAGGTATTTCAACTGGGGGTGTCAAATCACTTGGAACAATAATGTGAGTCTTTTTTTCTGCTAAAAATTATAACTTCCACATTAAAACCCTTAAAACATACAACACCATAGGCCCCGCCCCTTAAAAACCCGACTTCCAGTGAGCACAGTGAAACTTTGCACTTTCAGCAGATCAAACATCCTTCTGGAGTCAAAGTACATCATTCTGCACTGTGAAGATCAAACATCCAACTGTAGGAACAAGAAGAAAAACAGATTTTTCAGTGGAGGGGGGCTTTAATATTACATTAAAAGTTGGTTAAAAGTGTGAATTAAAGATTCCCTGCATGGACAGAATCAATTTGTGTCACAACACACAAAAAAAGGTGCATTAGCCAGCATGTCTGTCGCTGAGGAAGAGGACACGATTTCCAAATGAAGGGCTGGATTGAGTTTAAGGTTTGAAGTTCAGTCGAGCTGCAGACTTCAGTCGATGAGGAGCAGACAGCAGGTCAATATAATTCATTATCAAGTTTACTGAACCAAACATGTGCAACATGGGTTGAGAATATAGCAGAGTGCACAGTCTCTATCTGCCAACATAGGTCTTACACAACGGACACGGGTTCCATATTGATTGGATGAATAAAAAGTTTGCACTTTAAAACTGAGTGCACTGAAACCAAATCAGTCAGCATACCTGTACTGGGAACTAATTACTTATATTATCACTTTAAGTGCAGTCCGTATTATTTGCCGTTGGCTCTGGACAGTGATGGTGAGGTCACAATGAGCTTTAATTTGATGGTGTTCACATCCATTAATATATAAATGAATATCCCTTCGCCAGGTCCATGTCCACTACCCACAGGTTGTTTTCCAAATGAATAAATCCAAGAGAACAGCACTTAAAAAGGGACACAGTGAGGCACTGAAGTTTTAGTTTTCCACAAATTTCTTTCCATTGAATATCAACTTAATTATCTGTTAACATCCTAACATTTGCAGGTTAATCTCTGGTTGTCATTGTTAGCAGACCTCCAGGCTGCAGTGCAGCTCCGTACTCTTCACTGATGAGCCACACTGATTAGACTGAAGTACATGGCATTAGTATCAAATTAATGTTAGTTTCTCTACCTGTCCCTATCCCTCTCTTGTTTGCCCAAACAGGTCCAGTCTCTACTTCTGTCTTTCTGTTATTTGTTATTTCTGTCTTTGCAAGGTTAAATTGTGATTAAAAACAAATTGAATTAAATGAATTGGTCCTAACAGAGAGGATGTAGAAGTAGCGATGGAGAGCCTGCTGATGCTCACTGACCCATTCAGAAAGTAATGTTATTAAACTGAACATAGCCCACATTAATGTTCCTAACATTAGTAACACTGTTGTCGTAACAGGTCATTTGCGTCTCTAATTCTTATAACTTTACAAACTCCCAGGCATCTATGTGTCACAAAAGACCCAGAGGTTTCAATCAAGTGAGAAATAAAAAATGTAACCATATACGTCCAAGTGAACAATAACTAACTTCCTTTGTCCTTTTATGCAACTGGATAAAATTACTGTTCTGCGCATTTTCCCATATAACTGGTGATATTCGGGTGTTGGGTTAAACATTAATACTGCAATTAGATTTGTATGTATGAATTCCAACCCCACTGACCCCACTTGTAAACTGCCCTCTAGTGGATCGTCAGTGTAATGCAGGAAGTACAATTCTCCTATATACCAAATGTTAACCATTCCTGTTTGGCTCCCAGACCGTGGTCGGTCGGGAAGCACTCTCTCCTCGGCAGTTGGCAAACAACAAACGGAAGCTCCACCTTGGTCTTGCGAAGCTGCAGCCTTTATTCACAGACAACTGTAACTTACACAGTACATTTACTGCTAAACTGATAACTTATGGCTAACCCGTTTCTCTCTCTGCTCTGCTGCCATTCACCGCTGCAAACAGTTGCTCTTGTTCACCCACTCACACATCACACACTGCTCTATTAAAGTGTAAATTGGGGTATTCATATATAGCTTTTTATGTAGTCCTCCCTGAAAAGTAGAATTTGAAACTTTTGTGTTCTGTAAATCAAGAAAGTTAGCACAAATAACAGTGACACAGAGATATAAATCACATTCAGAAAACTATATACAGGTACAATAAGTAGAGGGGAGTATTAATAGGTAGAAACAATATACAATGCATTGAAATTAGAAAAATATATACAGGACAGTACCCTAATTTTTATAATAGCTGATTTGGACAAAACAGATTTCACCTCATGGTGCAGTTTCCATATATTCCTGAGTAAAGTAGGACAGTGATCAATATAATATACTACAATATATAGTAATATGTATAATGTGGGATGAGTGTGAAGCAGCTGCTGATGACTCAGTGTTGAAACAACATGAACTAAAGTAACATCTAATGTGAATCAGTGCTAACATTAGCAAGCTGGGCTAACACTTAACAGCATGATGGGTCCTTCCAAATGTTGAATGAGGTCAAATGTTCAATGTACAACTGATGACAACAGCCATCATGTTAAAATCCACGTGGGGGCAAATATTACCTTCCTCTGTGTTCTCATACTGTGAAGAAGGTATTGTGTCTGTTTGATGATACCCCAATGATGAGTCAACGACTAGGACTTGTGGTTAAGAATTACTTTATTTGCAAATAAGCCAAAGAACACAGTACAACTCTTGTACTTCTACACACAGATAAACAGGTGGTGTCATTTCCCTATCCTCATCAATTATCATCAATTTGTCAGGAAAATTCTCCCCCAACCCCCAAAACACACAAACTAACCTTAACCAAAACCCATCAACACCAGAAACAGCATAAGTCTTAGCATAAATTCAGACTATAGGTCTATGACAAATACTTTAGCTTTTGCATTAGTTAAACAGATGTTAATATCATGAGTAAAATGCATCATCAAACACAGTTATACAAAATACAGTCTACTATTATGTTGCAGCAGATGCTAATAAATAAAACAGGGTGTCTACATATAGTCTTACTGGCTCCTCAGTTTGTGTTGAGTCATTGGACTGCTGTTGGTTGTAGTATAGTTATTCTAGTTCTTCTATATCTTCTACGCTCTTGAAGCTTTTCTGCCTAGGCCAATACCAGTCTGACTCAATGTGAAGCCCAAACCAGTTTGAGAAGAAAGCTGTGCATAGAATCAACATAATGTGATATATTTTATAGAAAATTACATTGTTTCAGCTCTATAGAAATCAGCAATATGCCTAACATCCCAAAAAATATGTTAATAGTGACTCTCACATCAGAATATGATTAATTAATGGAGCTTAGTAAGGTCAGATTTAATCCTGTTGAATTATAATAACAATTTTAACTCTTTTAAAATGACGTACAAAGAGAAAGAAACAAATACTAAATGAAACAACAAGCACTAAAGCTACCTTATGTCCTAACAACAACAACATGATAGATTCAACATTTATGTGAAACACAAACCAATTAGAGAAAAAGGCGATAGGCAATATATATTATTATCAATATGTATGAGAATTACATATACAGTATGGCTGCACAATATGGTAAAAAAAAAAAAAAAACTAGCTTGCTAGTGCATCTGTAGAACAGCATTTGTAGGCTGCGGCATCTCTTCTGAGCTAAGCGTTTATCAAAAAATTGGATCTTCTGTGATTTACATATTACACTTGGCCATATATTTTGATTTTGATAATATTTCGATTGATTGCTTCCCTTATATGAGGTCATGTTTTTACACCATAAATTGTCTTGGTCCTTCTTGGTTTAAATGCATTTTTGAATTTTTGAAATGTGTTTGAGTTAAAATGGAGTGTTAAGTTGCTCTTTGAACTTTGAATGTAAATCCATATCCCTACAGGCCAAGAATCTGACAAGTCTTTGCCATTGCTCTCATTCAACTGGACACACGTACACATAATTGTCATTGCGGTAAGCCCAAAAGCATGGGTAAACAGGCTCATTAAATCTGGCTTTAAAAGTGTGGAGGTGAGTCAGTGTGTGAGAAGAGACATTGTAGTAGGACAGAGTGCCAGCAGGCCAGTCCAGAAACAACCCAACTCTGTTGCAGCCAGAGGGAAAAGAAACTTCCCACAACTTACCATTATGCCATGGCTCAAGTGTGCGTTTAAAATCATTTGAAAATTGGCCAACAGACCAAGACATGGTATTATTTCCAAGACTACTCTCTGAACTGCCTGATTTTCTGTCAATTCCCTTGTATGCAACACCGATATAAACAGATTGATGGTGACAATGACTCCACTCTACCTCCCAGTAATGGCGCCCTTTTAACCTCTCTTTGCCCAGAACCTGAGTATGTTTATCAAACCTCTCTGGGTGATCAGGGTATGTCTGCCATGGTCCACATGTTGCCTTTTTGTTTCCCTCAGATAGAGTAAGGTAGTTGTTGGCAGTGTTTGGGTCTAGGTTGACATCACAAGCATCTGATGGAGAGACCAAAACAAAATGTGTTATTAGTTATTCTGATGGTCAAACAGGTTTCTGGAGGACAGAACATTCATATGGGGAATTTGTTACTCAAAAACAAACATGGAAAGTGACTTACACCAGATCAAATCTCTTTTGTCTGTGATAGTCTCCACAGGAGGGAGGTTGGGCTTTGAAAAATCCTCATTGATCAGAATGCCGTCCCTGTAATGGTAGATGGTTGCTCCTGTGTATTTCTTATTTTCAATGGCTGCTACAAGGAAACAGAACCGACTGTTGTTCTTCAGTGCTTTGGCAAGATAATGGAAATCTTTGGCGTTTTTCCTCATTTTGGTGAAAACCTCATCTGAGCAGTACCAGTGGTCTTCAATGCTTCCTAATTTAGGTGATTTTAAGTAGTCAGCCATCACATTCAGGCAGGGGTCAGTGCTCTCCAGGGAGGTGAAAACAAAGCACAGAGCATCCTCTACACCTGGAGCACGAACATCTCTGTCCAGCTTCAACTGATTTGGAGCAATCTTTGTTCCCTGCATTGTTTCTACACAGGACCTGATGATGTTGATCTCTTTCTCTTTATGATCCAGCCAGCTGTTTAGTTTCTCTTTACTGAATGGTGACTTGTCTCTGTCTTCAAAGAGTTGTTTTGTTGAACTCTCATCTTCTGTACCTTCACGGATGAGGGAAAATTTCTTCGCCATGGTCTTCTTCAGGTTAGATTCATAGTCTTCACACAAGTTTCGGAATCTGTCTAACCCTCCTTTAATCTGTGGAAGATTCTCTACCACGCTGTCATCCAGACATTCGTTGTATCTCATTCGTATTTCCCTGAAATCTTCAAGAGCATCTTGTGCCTTCCTCACTAGTCCAACACTGATCCCACTCTTAAGCTCATCAGCTTCGGAATACAAATTCTTCAATGGCATCAGCCAGACCTTCAGAGGAACAGCCTTCTCTCTCTTTTCTCCCAGTAGCTTGGAAAGTTCTGCATAGGTCTTCACTGCCTGTTCAAATGTTGCAGGGTTGCTGTCAAGAATGAAGTCTCCGTAGAATTTGCAGGAGAATTTGTTGGTCAGAGCTTTTTCTTCATCAGTCAGCTTGATGTCAACTTTTCCCTGAATATCTAATGAAGGGATTTTCTTTATCACAGCTTCCATGCCGGCCTGGATGTTCCGAACATTGCTGACATCTAACTTCTGACTGTCAAACACAAAGAAAGCATTTGCCCCATAAAGGATGCCTGTGACTACATGTGTTCCTGAGGACTTCTTAATAATATCTATCTGTTGGAGGTTCTTTGGTTGAAGGTGAGTCACTGACAACTCCTTGAAGGTGGTGGTAGCGTTGTACTGAAGTGTCACTCTGCTCTGATTCTTGTATTTCTTCGTATCATTCAGATATTCAGCAGATCCTCCAACTTCAATCAGTCCACCCATGAAACTGGCCTTCAGAGAAGCGTTAATATCCAGCAGAGAGGACTTGGATTCAATGGTGTCTGATGCAGAAATTTCAAATGTGCTGCCCTCCTGAGAGGTTACTTCATGAGTTTCTTTATCCCATAATGTCACACCTGTAGAAATTGGAGAACATCAGTCATCTGATAAAGCAGGAAATATAAAATCACTCAAAGCTAATTATTAATAAGGAAAGAAATATAAGATTGAGGGTTTATGGTAACAATATACAACATAAGTGTAATTGCGCAAAAACAAAACTTTGTTCCTGTAGGCTTCAAATAAATAAAATATAAAAAATATTTAAAAGAGTTAAATACTGCAGTATAGTATCTTTGAAAACACAATGAGCATTGTCGTCATTAATACAAATAAATTGGTCTCAGGTAAACAAAGGCATTGGCCAGAGAGCACAGGCGAGAAGACAGCACACACAAATGAGACAGAGACACAGATATACATATGTATGTTTATATACAGATATATAGATAAATGTCTATATATACACATATATACACATATGTATGTATATACAGTATATTATGGAATGCTTTGAGGAAATTAATTTATATCTATAATATTAAATATGAATACACGAAATGAAATGTCACGTGATCAAGGCACTACCTTGTGATTTTGATACCAGCCTAATATTATTCCATAAGGATGTTACTGAAAGTGTGGACTGGCTGAGCATACAGTGAATCTATCAGAAGTAGTCCTAATTAATGTGGAGATAATTTACACCCTGGTGAATATTCAGTTACTGTACTGTAGCTGTGTGTTCAAACACAATGCATAGGAAGCAGCAAAAGGTTTAATGTGGTTAAAGCAGGAAAGTCAGTAAATCAATCACTGATCTATGAATGCTTGAATGAAATGATTCTTAAAGTATCTACTGTTCACAGCAGCGTTATATTGTATGAAAGCTTCTCCTTCAGTTACAAGATAAGATAAGATATTCCTTTATTTATCCCCCTTACGAGAGGTTGACAGAGCAGCAATAGGGCAAAGTAGTGCAAAAACAGAGAACAAAGAATATCACAATAAAAATATTACTACACTATGCATTGTTCAAGTAGTATATGGAGTGCAAAATATGAGCAGAAAATTAAACTAAAAACTAAAAAATTTAAACTAAACTAAACTACTAAACTACTAAAGTGGAAATTAAATATAAATAGTGCAAAAGGCTTGTGCGTTGTAGGTAGGAGTTTTAAACCATGAAGTCCCGGATATGTTAAGTTGTTGTGCCGCGCCAGAGCGCAGTGTCTTTATGCACGACTGTTCGCTGAGTTTACCTTCATTAAATTGCCTTAAAATGACAGCAGGCTGCTACCTGCAAACGCTCTTGCACATTAACTACTGAACTATATGGCCCTGTACAAGGTGAGAGAGCGTCAGTTAGATAGGTTATAATAATATAAGCGGTTTCAAGTCTTTATTTTGATAAGGTATTTAATCGTCACCTGTGATCTATATTTACCATCACCCAGCCCTTTTGCATGTTGAGCTGCTGAACATAAATGGACCAAATTAGAAGGTGCGCATGGAGACGCCCATACAGTTCGTACACCTATAATACCACCTTGTGCTTGACATTAAGGGTGCAAATTATGAAATTCTGACTGCAATGCATGTTTGCACCCTCGTAGAACCAGGCCTGAATAATAAAAGACTATAATTACGTATTATTTAAAAAAATAGCATTTAAAAACAAAAATTAAGACATGAAAAGTCTGGTGGGACATGTGCTCTTCCAGCTTGAATGGGCATGACTCGACTGTCTTGAGGCAACATCGTAATAATATTACACATTTAAAAAAATGTGCCTTGATGATGTCATATTTCATTAAATATATTCAGACTTCAATTCTATATATTCAAATTTCATATTATATATATGATAATTTCTTAAATAACATTCCATATATATATGTATATATATATTTATATATATACAGAGAGAGAGAGAGAGAGAGAGATTTTTTTATAAGAGTGTAGTCCAAGTCAAGACTTACCTGGGATCAGTTGATCTGTACGAGCATCATAGAGCATTCCTAGGGTGAAAGGTCGACCCAGGGCAGCAATCTCCATTTTAACTGAGTCCATTTCTCCAACCTGTGGAGAAATGTAAAGTCAGTGACCACATAGGCATCAATATTTAATCTACTGTCTTAAGAATTCAAGTGTTGAGAGTTTGTCACACTGGGAGTCTCCTCCTTCACACAAAAACACAGGACAACAAGAAAAGAGAGTCCTCACCTGGTTGATTGGCGTAGATCAGTTGAGTAGTGGAGATCAGTTGAGTAGTGGAGATCGGTGGAGATCGGCGGAGATCGGTGGAGATCAGTTGAGTAGTGTAGATCAGTTGAGTAGTGGAGATCGGTTGAGTCGTTGAGATCGGTGAAGATCAGTTGAGTAATGGAGATCGGTGGAGATCAGTTGAGCTGTGTGCTAGTCTTGACTTCCAACTGGACTTGTCAGACTGATGATGCTGCAAGATTACTTATACCCTGTCAGATACTCTGTTCTACTGACTCCTCCCATGGCACACCTCCAGACACATGTAACAGACATCAACTGTTTTTCCACAGAGATGAATACACCTATTGGGAAATATGACTATAAAAGGCCTTCCAATAATAAACACATTTCTGTGGAAGGAATACTTAACAGCGCTTTGATAGTCTGATTAACTTCTAAAACAACAATCAGGTGACACCAGAGTAATGGGAGACATTTTGTACATTTTGTAGATGCAAAGCAGGAAATTCAGCTGTAAAGTTTATCTTGTTCAATTCGCCTACCAAACGTTATCAGTGATGACGTTTTGCAAGCAAATTTATGGTGAGATTGCCTTTCCATCATCTTGGTCATACACTGGCAACAGGTGTCTCAGTTACTCAGAAAACGATGAAAACAGGGCTGAGGGCTTTCAACTGTGTTCTTTTGTAGGGTAGTTCCATCCCATAATGTCACACTTTTAAGAATGGAAACATTTTGTTACACAAAGTGACATTTATATTTCTACAACGCTGCAGTCACTGCAGAACAAATACTTTGTTACTGTGCTTAAGTAGTTTTTTCATGTATCTGTACTTTACTTGAGTATTTAGTTTACTGACGACTTTTTACTTTTACTTCCCATATTTTTTCACAAAAATCTTACATTTTAAAAACAGGCTTGTTACTTAAATGGGAATCTGAGCAAATTATCAATTACAGTGCTGCCATTGCATACACATGCATCATGTGGGCACCAAATGCAGAGGGGGCACTAATGATCTAACCATAATAATTATAAGCTAGTGTTACAACGTTTTGCTCTCATTATGGTTGGGCTTCCCTGTCCTCTCATCTGAGGGGCAGAGAGCAGGGCTCAGCTCCACACACACAGAGGACAGAGACAGCAGAGTGGCTGTAGTCACCTTAAATTTTGTTTAAAAAGCAGATTTTTTAGCCAAATAACATTAAAATTGTGGAAGTCGGGCGCCTGGTTAGCTCAGTCGCTCGAGCTGGCGACCCATATATGGAGTGCTGCAGCGGCCTGGGTTTGAATCCAACCTGCAGCCCTTTGCTGCGTGTCGTCCCCTCTCTCTCTACCCACCTTTCCTGTCAACCTTCAGCTGTCTCTATCCAATAAAGGCATGAAAAGGCCAAAAAAATAACTTAAAAAAAAAAAAATTCCATTCATTCAGCACAGAAGCAGCCTTAAGAGATACCAAGAGTGTACATTTTTCTAAAAACATTTTTGGGCTTTTCATTAGTGACAGCTTTCGAATGACAGGACAGGAGAGAGATAGAGATGGAGAGAGAAAGAGGGGATGACATGCAGCAAAGGGCCACAGGTCGGATTCCACCCCTGGGCTGCTGCAGTAAGGACGCATCCTTGGTACATGGCGCGCCAGCTCTATCGGGTGAGCTATCACCTATCTCCCTATACAGTTTCTTTTCGGCAACCTTCATGATATCTGTCAAACAAAATGAAAGCATTTGCCCCATAAAGGATAAAGGATGTTTTGCAAAGCTTTTCTCAGTGATATCTTTTTGTTTCTCGCCCATGGTTACAGGATCGATAGTACAACTTTCACACACTGACAACTGTTTGAAATGGGTAGTCGCTTTGTAATAGTAATAGAGTACTCTATTACATACTCACTCTATTCTGATTGTGGAAATTCTTCATATAATTCTGGATTTAATTGAAAGCTTTCAACTGTGTTCTTTTGTGGGACAGTTTTCTCCCATAATGTTAAACCTTTAGGAATTGGAACATATTTATTTTATTTTTTGGGGGGCGGGAGGCTTTTCTTTAAATTAATTGCGACGGCAGAAGAGTGACATGTAAGGGGGGCCCATTTAGCCCATTTACCCAAAGATCTGTACATTCTGCTCCTTACATTAAAAGAACACCCTTGTTTTGTTACTTTACTTGGAATGCCTTTGAGGGGAATTATGAATTTTTACAGTGCTACATACACATGCACAGTCTAATGATCATTAATCATAATAAATATAATATGAATACCCCCTAATAGTTGAGTTAACTGTTAGTCAACGAGAAGAGTCTGCAATGAAGCTGAGCTGACACCGGAACCAAACACAGCCTTCAACACCGTCAGAGATCTTGACACATGGCACATTCATGTGGTGGATGGAGAGGAGGAAAGGCGAGAAGGGTGAGGCTGTTAGAATTTAACAGGTAGCTGTTAAAATATAGATAATAATTATATTAATATCATAAACATTACACAATCGGACTACTAGTCAGTTTATAGTTTAGGGACAGCCCTAAATTATAATGTTATTTAAAAGGCACAGCACCCAGTGTTACCATGTTTAACTGTTATATGGTCAGGCTTCTCTGTCCTCTCCTTTAAAGGACAGAGAGCAGGGCTTAGCTCCACATGTGCACACACACACACACACACACACACACACACACACACACACACACACACACACACACACACACACACACACACACAGCACAGGAAATGGGGACAAAAACCCTTTATCTCGATTGAGCACATAAAGTTATAGCTTTGCTACTTGCATCATACACACAGCAGCATAAGTCTTACACATTTATATTTCTGTGTAACTGGAATTTGAGTGAAACGGATAAAGAGCTTTATTTTTAAGGAGAGTTTTGGTCATTTTTAAATTCAGTATGGTTTTAGACAAATAACATTTAAAAAACTTGTAGTTAGTTTTGCTCGTAGTTGTGTAATAAATAATGACTGTAAGCAACACAAAGCATTTCTATTTCACAGTCAAACTTGACAGATAATATAAATTATACACTTGTAGCGGTTTTTCAACTACATAAGCAAGTTACTACATTAGATGAGTAATTCCTTCAGTTATGTTTACATGTTGCAGGATAAAGTATTTAACGCAGCCTCATTATGGGAAGTTTTTATAGTCTCAATAAACTTATGTGTACAAAGAACAGATGGGAGGTTACAGTAATGATTATACAGTAATAAAGTTCCTGTGAGCAGAGCTGTGACAGACAGATATATCTAGAAATATAGTTTTAGTAAGAATGGAGTCTCAAGACTTACCTGTGACTGGTTGTTTGTACTGACATGTAACTCTACTCTGATTATGGAATTTCTTTGTATCTTTCAGATATTCAGCACATCCTCTGACTTCAACCAGTCCACCTAGGAAACTGGCCTTCAGAGAAACATCAACATCCAGCAGGAAGACTTTGATTCAATGGAGTCAGACATATTAATTTGAAATGTACTCCAGTCCTGTTACTTTGGTTTGAATACATTTGAGTATCGATTATTACAGCGCCACCGTGACATACATGCACATCATGCTCTGGGCACCAAATACAGACGGGGCACCAACATAGCTTAATGATCATTAATCATAATAACTATAATGTTATATACAAGGCACAGCTAGTTTTACCATGTTTTACTGTCATTATGGTTGGGCTTCCCTGTCCTATCCTTTGAGGGGCAGAGAGCAGGGCTCAGACACACACACACACACACACACACACACACACACACACACACACACACACAGAGGGCAGAGACAGCAGAGTGGCCATGGTGGAGTTTACTCGAGTGGACGACAGCTCAATTATTAAAATATAAAAAGTAGAAAAACCATATTTGCACCTGCTTTATCTGGAGTTGTTCCAACCACAGTGTGCTTGTTAATCTAATAATGAATGAAGCTGTCTGTACTTATACTGATGTCAGTGTGTTTGATGTCAGAAATATTATTTATTTAACTGGCATTTTAGATTTATTTCCAGTGCAATATTATTGAGTTTATATAGTGCCTTTGCTGTTGCTGCTCTGGAAACAATATTTAGTTTTTTTTAATATAATTTATAATCCAGTTCAGAACAATATTTAGATTTCAGAGTATAACGAGGGATATATCAGGCAGCAAGTGAACATTTTGTTCAGTTGATGTGTTAGAAGCAATAAAAATGGGCAGCGTGAGGATCTGAGAGACTTTGACAAGGGCCACATTGTGATGGAGGACTGGGTCAGAGCATCTCCAAACCTGCAGCTCTTGTGGGGTGTTCCCGGTCAGCAGAGGTCAGTACCGATCAAAAGTGGTCCAAGGAAGGAAAAGAGGCTCATTGATGCAGGTGGGCAGTGAAGGCTGGCCCTTGTGGTCTGATCCAACACACGAGCTACTGTAGCTCAAAATGCTGAAACAGTTAATGCTGGTTCTGATAGAAAGGGGTCCGAACACACGGTACAGAGTAGTCTGCTGGTCCCTATGTGAGGTTAAAATAGTGGTACTGTTCTATTTAATTATTTTGAAGTTCCTGTGAGCAGAGCTGTGACGAGCAGATATGTTTAGATATATAGCTTTAGTAAGAATGTTGTGTAAGTTAAGACCTTTACCTGTGATCTGTAGAGCAGGAAGGAGCCTACATAATGTTCTTATGTAGTAAAGTTGAAGTTGAAGAGTACCATCCTTCGCAGTATCTGAGGCCATTTCTCCAACCTGTTCAGAAATGTGGAAATTGACCACACAACCATCAGTACTACATTAACACTGTCATGAACAATACAAGTGTTCTTCAACTCTCCTTCACACAAACAGAAAGGATGACGAAGATAAGAGACAGAAAGACAGTTTGTGCCGTGAAATGAATTGAAATTTGTGTATAATGTAATTGTGTTGGTCTGCTCTGTATATGTAACTTCTAATGCACGTCTGCCCTGAGATTTGTGATTTTGGCCTGTATAAATAAAATTTGACTTGACTTTGAAATGAAGTATTTCTCCTCTAGGTACTAATCTGACAGTGTATGACACAGACTGGATTTCAGTGAAAGTTTAAATATCACCCAGTTTGCACCCAGTTTGTCCTCACCTGGTGAAGTTGTGGAGATCACTTGAGTTGTGCGAATCTTATTGGCTTCCAACTAAAGCTGCCAGTCTGATATCTGCAATGTTGGAGGAGATTTCATATCCTGTCAGATAGTCTCTTCCACTGATTCCTCACGTGCCCCACCTCCAGACCTCATTTAGTGACTGCTGGAGTTTGACCAAGCTTCTAATATTGTGAGGTGGGGTGTGGCTTCGTGAGGTTGAGCTTATCTGAAGTATCTGTAGTCATGCTGTTCATCAGCATCTTGATATGCCACACCTGTCAGGTGGTCACTAACATGCATTTTAACAAATTTGTGAACAAAATTTTAGAGAAATAAACAATCTGTTTGCATAAAAGAAGAGTAGAAGAGTAGCAGTAATTTTTTCACATATGTAAAATGATTAAAGTAACCCATGATAACCTTTCTTCTGAGTTAATCATTGCAGGGAACCAACTGCTTCCCTTTTCTTTTTTATTACCCAAATGTCCTCTTGTTGTCCCTAGGTGGGTTTGTAGTGTGGTGTGACACGTATTTACACATGGGCCCTTTCATTTCAGTTCCATTGTATTTACAGGAAGGACAATAGAAAAATTATCTAGTGAAACAAAGAAGAAAAGAGGAACAACTAAGAACAATGAAAAAGGTGACAATCTTTTTCCCGTATGATAAAGATTGTTGTTTGGAGACCGACTGTAAAACACCAGATGTTGGAATACAGTGCAACAATTAAAATAATAATAATAACTTTCACAGAAAAGTAAATTGTAATCTGTCACAAGCTGATCATAGACTCTTCAAGTTAATTTGCACAGTGGACTGAAATGAGTGGTTAGCATTTTAGGGCCTTTTGGTTGAAGCTGCTTCCAGCACTGAAGTAAGACTGTTATCCAAAGCTCATTTGACCTTAAACAAGAGCAATATATATATGATTTATCAGGTTTGCTGATGTTTTTCCACACCCAAGCCCTTAAAAGTGAAGTGACTGCTTGAAGGAGGTTTTAAATGATTGTTTGTTGAACTTTAATGTATGAAACTTGACCTAAGTGCAATGAAATAACTCATTCTCTGATCTGTACCAAAGTAAAAAGACTCCAACTCTGTTTATAGGCCTCCTCAGCTGAGAAGCATTAAAAAAAACACCCTTCTTGACAAAGAATAAACAAAGGCCGTAAAAAAAAAAGAATAAACAACCAGATAGCTACCATCACTTGTCTCTGAATGTGATTTTTAGCCTTTGAATAACTTTAAATGTCTCCGAGCCATAGAAGGAGCCGGGATTCAGCACTGGCCACGGAACACTGTTCATCATGTTAAAGGAGAAGGTGGTGTAGCAGAGGAGGAGAGAGGAAGAAGGAGAAGAAGCCGTCTCAAGCCACAAAAAAGGAGACCACAGAGACTAACTTCAGGGCTAACCACCTTCTCTCTCTCCTCAACACAAACTTCACAAACGGAAGCACCGCCTTGGTCTTTAGAAGCTGCAGCCTTTATTCATTCATGCATTCATAACATACACTGTACACTTACTGCTAAACTGATAGAATATCCGCTCTGCAGCCATTCACCGCTGCAAACAGTTGCTCTTGTTCACCCACTCATACATCACACACTGCTCTATTAAAGTGTAAATTGGGGTATTCATATATAGCTTTTTATGTAGTCCTCCCTGAAAAGTAGAATTTGAAACTTTTGTGTTCTGCAAAGCAAGAAAGTTAGCACAAATAATACAACAGTGACACAGAGATATAAATCACATTCAGAAAACTATATACAGGTACAATAAGTAGAGGGGAGTATTAATAGGTAGAAACAATATACAATGCACTGAAATTAGAAAAATATATACAGGACAGTACCCTAATTTTTATAATAGCTGATTTGTACAAAACAGATTTCACCTCATGGTGCAGTTTCCATATATTCCTGAGTAAAGTAGGACAGTGATCAATATAATATAATACAATATATAGATATATGTATAATGTGGGATGAGTGGGAAGCAGCTGCTGATGACTCAGTGTTGAAACAACATGAACTAAAGTAACATCTAATGTGAATCAGTGCTAAGATTAGCAAGCTGGGCTAACACTTAACAGCATGATGGGTCCTTCCAAATGTTGAATGAGGTCAAATGTTCAATGTACAACTGATGACAACAGCCATCATGTTAAAATCCACGTGGGGGCAAATATTACCTTCCTCTGTGTTCTCATACTGTGAAGAAGGTATTGTGTCTGTTTGATGATACCCCAATGATGAGTCAACGACTAGGACTTGTGGTTAAGAATTACTTTATTTGCAAATAAGCCAAAGAACACAGTACAACTCTTGTACTTCTACACACAGATAAACAGGTGGTGTCATTTCCCTAAAGTCTGTCACTCTTTCCTCATCAATTATCTTTGTTAGCGAAATTCTCCCACAACCCCAAAACACTTTGCTTTTGGGCGATCACGTCTCCATCTTGACTTATTATATATATGTTCAACACAAATTCTTCAAAACATGCTATAAATGTAATGATATATGATATAACATGATGTTCACACAAACTAACCTTAACCAAAACCCATCAACACCAGAAACAGCATAAGTCTTAGCATAAATTCAGACTATAGGTCTATGACAAATACTCTAGCTTTTGCATTAGTTAAACAGATGTTAATATCATGAGTAAAATGCATCATCACACACAGTTTACATACATATACAGTCTACTATTATGTTGCAGCAGATGCTAATTATAAAACAGGGTGTCTACATATAGTTTTACTGGCTCCTCAGTTTGTGTTGAGTCATTGGACTGCTGTTGGTTGTAGTATAGTTATTCTAGTTCTTCTATATCTTCTACGCTCTTGAAGCTTGTCTGCCTAGGCCAATACCAGTCTGACTCAATGTGAAGCCCAAACCAGTTTGAGAAGAAAGCTGTGCATAGAATCAACATAATGTGATATATTTTATAGAAAATTACATTGTTCAGCTCTATAGAAATCAGCAATATGCCTAACATCCCAAAAAATATGTTAATAGTGACTCTCACATAAGAATATGATTAATTAATGGAGCTTAGTAAGGTCCGACTTTGATGTCTGTGATTTACATATTGCACTTGGCCATATTGTGATTTTTATAATATTTCGATTGATTGAATCCCTAATATTCGGTCATGTTTTTATACCATAAATTATCTTGGTCCCTCTGGGTTTGAATACATTTTTGAATTTTTGAAATGTATTTGAGTGTTAAGTTGCTCGGGCCAAGAATCTGACAAGTCTTTGTCATTGCTCTTATTCAACTGGACTGGACAAAGATACGCATAGTTGTCATACTCGTGAGCCCATAAGCCTGGGTAAAGAGGTTCAGTGAATCTGGTCTGAAAGGTGTAGAGGTGACAGAGTGCCTCCAGGCCAGTCCAGATAAACCCCAACACTAATGAAGCCAGCAGAGGTAGAAAAACTCCATTTGTTATTATCGTGAATTGCCTTCAGTAGTTGTTCATCTGTTCTTTTGCCAAAACACCACGATATAGTATTATATCCAAGCTCAGTCTGTGGACCTTTTCCTTTTCTTTGAACTTCCTTGTATCCAGCAAGTATGTAAACAGAGTCATTAGAACCATTACTCCACTCTACCTCCCAGTAATGACGCCCAGTTTTTTGTTTCAGGGCTATCTTCTTTCCCTCAATCATGACGTGTCTCCCAGTTCCTGCCACTGAAAAACATCCCCACAGCATGATGCTGCCACCACCATGCTTCCCTGTAGGGATGGCATTGGCCAGGTGATGAGCGGTGCCTGGTGTCCTCCAAACATAACGCTTGGCATTCACGCCAAAGAGTTCGATCTTTGTCTCATCAGACCAGAGAATTTTGTTTCTCATGGTCTGAGAGTCTTTCAGGTGCTTTTTGGCAAACTCCAGGCGGGCTGCCCTGTGCCTTTTACTAAGGAGTGGCTTCCGTCTGGCCACTCTACCATACAGGCCTGATTGGTGGAGTGCTGCAGCGATAGTTGTCCTTCTGGAAGGTTCTCCTCTCTCCACAGAGGAACCCTGGAGCTCTGTCAGGGTGACCATCAGGTTATTGGTCACCTCCCTAACTAAAGCCCTTCTCCCCCGATCACTCAGTTTAAAGGGACGGCCAGCTCTAGGAAGAGTCCTGGTGGGTCCAAACTTCTTCCATTTACGGATGATGGAGGCCACTGTGCTCATTGGGACCTTTAAAGCAGCAGAACATTTTCTGTACCCTTCCCGAGATCTGTGCCTCGAGACAATCCTGTCTTGGAGGTCTACAGACAATTCCTTTGACTTCATGCTTGTTTTGTGGTCTGACATGCACTGTTAACTGTGGGACCTTATATAGACAGGTGTGTGCCTTTCCAAATCCTGTCCATTCAACTGAATTTACCACAGGTGGACTCCAATTAAGCAGCAGAAACATCTCAAGGATGATCAGTGGAAACAGAATGCACCTAACCTCAATTTTGAGCTTGATCGCAAAGGCTGTGAATAAGTATGTACAAGTGATTTCTTCGTTTTTTATTTTTAAGAAATTTTCAAAAATCTCAAGCAAACTTTTTTTAAGTTGTCATTATGGGGTATTATGTGTAGAATTTTGAGGAAAAAAATGAATTGAATCCATTTTGGAATAAGGCTGTAACATAACAAAATGTGGAGAAAGTGAAGCGCTGTGAATACTTTCCGTATGCACTGTAAGTTGACTCCCCGCCGGGCAAAGCATCTGGGATAATTTTTAAAAATTCTTTCTTGAAAATGCCTTTTAAACTTCAGCTTGCAAGTTAAGGACAGAAAGTCTTGTTAGTAGGCTAATGCTATTGAGTAGGCTAGTGGCTAATGCTAGCAGCTAGTTGAGAGGGAGAGAGAGAGACCAGTGTGATGATCAGCTAAGTAGAACAGAGCTGGGTGAGCATTATAAACTGTGAATGTAGCTTTAGTGTATATTATGATACACTTTGCAATAAAAATAGATAATGCAGTCATCTGTACAAAGCAGATTTCCTGAATTTTGTGAAGGCTAGATACATTTAGGCTAGCTAATTTTAGAGACATGAATGAGCCCCAGTTTATTCCACGGAGCAGTAAATGTGTCTCACACCTTTTCAACAACTATGGCTTAAGCTTTGATATTGTTTTATTTTAATTCAATTTCTTTTGTTGCTGTTGAAAACACAGCATTCAGGAATGCACATTGTCTGATTCTCTATAAGACTCTTCTTGAATTGTTGATTTTTTTACTTCTATGTTGGGCCCTTTGTTGATCTATACTGAGCCAGAACTATATCTCATAGAAGTAGTTTGGATTATCTGGTGCTAATATGGTGTTAAAATGCACTAGAATACAGGAAATGGCATCTACTTAGTTGAAAATGTTCTGGGGAAGACCCCAAGACGCCCTAGGGATTTATTTCCTTCATACATCCATGTCTCTGTGTGTTCTTCACAGTCCATCGTTGAAATCCACACAGTTCTGGTGGATGCTGATCCTAACAGCAAACTAACCTGAGTAGTCTGTCTAGTTAGTCTGTTTTAAGGCTATATAATGTGCCATTTGTATAACATGTAAAAACATGTCTAAAGTGCCCTCTACAGTGGTGAGGACCTGCTATATGTGCCCTTTTTTTTCTTTCCGCCCCTGCCCTTCAAAAAGTCTGTGCACGCCACTGCTCACCATGTCATAGAATCACCTCTTCAGTTTCACCTATGTGTCGTCTCAAGGTTGCCTTAATTTCATTTATCCACTTTCACTGGTTTCAGCTTAACTAGTTTATGACTCGACTCACTCGTCTGCTCGGGTTGTCGCTTTGACTGAGCTGCTGAACGTCAACCTGGAGGGGGTGGGACTTAATTCCCCTCTCCAATCAGATATCTGTATTGACTGATACAGCCAATAAGAACCAATACTGAGCAACCTCACTTTGACTGACACATTTTTTAGCAAACAAAGTAAGAATGAGTTAAATTCTGTAAAGAAGATATTTGTGATGGGGACATAATCCTAACTGGTCACTTCCAAATTTACACTGAAAATTCAATGATCTGCCACTTTTTTGGGTTGTTTTGCTTTTGCCTGGCAATTGCACTGGTTGTCGCCATCACACAATTACTTGTGCTTTCTAAATGTACAGATTGATATCCCTAAAATTTAACTGATTTGGTGTTATACTGTAATATACTTTTATGAGCAGTGAATTTCCACTGTATTACAGATTCCTCTGTATTACCAACCACCACTCTATTTACACAATCATTTATCCACATTTGGGTGGCTGTGGTTCCTCCCATCAAAAATATGTATAAAAATATGTAGGGCTATACTATGCTAAGGGCAGTAAAGGGGAGATAGGGAAAGGACCAACAACGACACCTGGAGAATTGCGCCACAAGAAAATACTTAAATAACCTCTAACCTTAAATATTATTTGGATAGTTAATAAGGGCACTCAGGCTAATTTCTGATGTAAGACTCTTTCCCAATTAACCAAATGTTTTATTGAAATACTAAAAACAAAAGCAGGGACTGGAGCTGCTGAAAAATAAAGATGTTTAAGAAGCAAAGAAAAAATGTAAATACACAATGTGATTAAAAATACATTATTACAATTACTCTAAATAAAAATTACCTAATACAATATCTAAAACCCTTAATTAACAATATCAATAAGCAAAATAATAAGTCCAACCTAAAGTAACCAAAACTAAGGAGCATGATCTCAGGCCACTAATGGAGAGGCAGACTACACTGAGGAGAGGGGTGCTCCCTCTTATTCACCTTGAGTGAAACACAGCAATCCTTACAGCAAAAGGTGCATTCTGCAGATGTGTCCCAGTGCTTTTACTCACATGCATCAAGAGTGGAGATCTCACCACGAGTGCCTAGCCTTACCACAATATGCCCCATGCTCCAAACACATATGCTGCATTGCCACAGCTGAGATGTGCATGAGGTGCACATGACACATGCAACTCAGGCAGTGTGACTGCTCCAATCTGTTAACATGGATGCCGACATAAAAAGCAAGATGTTCTACCGCACACACATGCTGCTCAGCTTGGTAGTTTGAACTGAGGTGTAGGATTAGTCAAATCAAGAGAATGTGGAGTGCAATAAGTGAGGAGACAAGAGACGGAGATGCATCGAGTCAGCTTTACTCTCCACTTCAATATCATAACACACTGACACGCGAGTGAGGTCAGAAACGGCCACACAACGTTAACCCGGAACCGGCATCCCATCACACCTCTCCCTTAAAGGTACAGTCCCTTGGTGAATGTCTCTTTCAGTCTTACTTGTTGGTCACCACAAGAATGAATTTCCCTGCAGGGATTCCACCACAATGTACAGTGACAGTGCAGTGATGGATACTAGCTATAAACCTTCTCGAGTCCAAGTCGTGTGACTTGAGTCAAATTTGATGACTTCAGACTTTACTTGACAAAGCTAAAAATTATATGTAAGTCAACCTGGACTTTACCACAGATTACTTGTGAATTTACTTCACTAAGAAAGAATGTTATTATTCATTAATACTAGTGCTGGGCAAAGGTTTACATTTTTTATTTAATTTTTAAAATTCAGTAATCGAATTCAAAAGTAGTGTATTGCGCACTTTTATTTTAAAAGTACTGCTATATGAACAAAAGTGTAATAACATTTGGTTTGCACTTATACTCAACTTTACACTTTGCACAAATAAGTTTCTTTTTGACAGCAGTGTTTCCTTTACACATAGTCTCAAAAAAGGTTTACTAATGTATTACTTCGGAACGGACGTTATCATCTGTAGAGCCCTCACAATACAGGATAATTTGGGTAGAACACTGGTACAGAGCAAGGTCCCTGACTAGATTTTTTCTCCAGTTGTTGGGAGGGGTCAATCAGAGGTTGGCCCCAAATTGTTGTAGTCTGAGCCCAGTTTATGGTGGGAAAACAAAGATCAAAACCTGAAGATCAGAAGAAATACATAAAGACATGCATCCAAAGACCTGTCTTCTGTGTAAACATGTAGACTATGAAGTCTAAGGGTCAATGAGTGTGAGTGTAATTGAAATAATTATCTCAACAATATGACAAACTATACAAAATACTCATCAGAGGACTTGTATAAGACTTGTCTGGTCATGGTTGCCATGTTGGTGTATCAGCATTACCTGCAAAACATGAAACTCCTCTGTCCAGTTGGTATTTTTAACTCTTGAACTATACTGACACTAAGTGATTGTGGAGGTAGATCTACAATCACTTGTAAACTTCCCTCTAGTGGATCGTCAGTGCAATGCAGGAATTAAAAGTTTCCTATTTAGCAAAGTCAAAATGGCAGGCCCCTTGTCGTGACATAAGCTGTAATTACAAAAAAATGACTTTATTATATCATGATATCAATTTGAAAATGTCAAACACTCACTAACTTAATTATTCACTGTAACCAATTAAAGATTAAAACTGTAACTGTGGGGTATTTATATGTATCTTTTTATACAGCCGTCCCTGTTATAATAGTGGAGAAAAGGTGGAGAAAAGTAGTATTTGAAACCTTTGTATACTGTAGAGCAATAATGTAAGCAGAAATGAAACCACACAACTGACACTGAGTTATAAATTACATTTAGAAAACCATATGCAGGTACAACAAGCAGGGGAAGGTAAAGAATAAGGAAAACATATACAATACATTGGAATTAGAAAATTCTATATAGTAATAGTCATACCCTAAGTTAGTGAACATTCATGTTTATTATGTATGGTTACATAATAGCCAATTTGTACGAAAAAAACAACCTATGGTACAGTTTCCCTATATTCCTAAGTAAAGTAGGATAATGATCAATAAAATAGCATATAATACAATATATAGTAATATGTATAATGTGAGATGAACACAGGAGCTGCTGATGACTGTTGAACAGCATGAACAAAAAGTAACATGGAGGGTGAATCAGTACTTACATTAGCAAGCTTGGCTAACTAGCTTCCACTTTCTGAGTCCATCATGTTTTAAAGAGTTCGGTCTAGACCTGCTCTATTTGAAAAGTGTCCTGAGATAACTTCTGTTGAATGAATTGGCGCTATACAAATAAAATTGAATTGAATTGAATTGAATCATGTTAACATCCATGTGGGAGCAAATATAACTTTCCTCTGTGTTATTACAATATTATGAAGAAGGAAAGTTATATATTGTCCTCTGAGGATGAATATTTTAGTGTTTTTTTTGCATTGACATATGTTCATAAATGAGCTTATAACCTTTGGTACAGTCAACTTTTAAATCTACAGGAAATAAAGTAGCGCACAGTGGTAAACTCAGCTCTCTACTTTATTGAATATTCTGCTCAACATTTCCAACAGGTGTTGCAGTTTCACAGGAATCTGACATTGCTTCAGCTCTATAAACCTCAGCAGTGTACTTAACATCTAACAAAATGGTGACAGTGATTCCGTCCTCAGAGCACTAAAGCCATTAATTGAACCCTAGCTCAAGGTTCAGATACAGTCTTGACAAAAAGAAAACCAAAAGATTGCTCTTCTACCCCGAAAAGATAACTATTTAAGATGCTGCACGAAGTAGAAAAGGAACAAATGCTTAATTCAAGTATTTGCACTTTAGAATCCTTATGCCCTAACATAATCAACATCTCACATTCAATAAAGCCAATAAATCAACATTATACAAGTAGTATTAGCAGCTGTTTCAACATAGTAGTGTTAACAAAGCACTTTTTATCAGTATAAGATCATGTCTTTTAGTATCAGGAATTAGAATAGTAAGTTACAATTAAAAACATATCATTGACATATCAAGCAATGCAAACTGATTGTAAAGTTGTGAAGCACAAACCAGCCTGAGAAGAAGGCTATACATAGAATCATCATGAACTAATACATAGAAATTACATGTACATTACTTTATTAAAACCAATGATCCTGATCCCTCTGGGTTTAAATGAATTGAATTTGTGAAAGGACACATGTTCAAAGTTCAAGCTAAAATTGCGTGTTTAGTGGCTCTTCAAAGTTTAAATCAAAACCCATATCCCTACAGACCAAGATCTAACAAGTATTTGTCATTGCTCTTATTCGGCTAGATGCAGGTACACATAATCGTCTTGTTTTTTAACATGGAAGCCTGGGTAGACAGGCTCAGTGAACTTGGTGCGAAAGGTGTGGAGGTGACTCAGCGTGTTAGAAGAAACGCGGTAGAAGGACAGAGTGCCAGCAGGCCAGTCAAGAAACATGCCAACTCTGTTGCAGTCAGCATAGGGAAGAGGGCCACAACACTTCTTACCATTATGCCATGCATGAAGCCCGTAACTGTGGCCAAAATACCAGGATATGTCATTTTGTCCAAGCTCGCTCGATGCATTCCCTCCTTCCCTGCCAATTCTTTGGTATGTAACACCTACACCAACATCATCATAATAACCATTACTCCACTCTACCTCCCAGTAATGACGCCCAGTTAACCTCTCTCTGCACAACACCTGAGGAAGTTTATCAAACCTCTCTGGGTAATCAGGGTATGTCTGCCATGTTCCATATTTTGCCTTTTTGTTTCCCTCAGACAGAGTGAGGTAGTTGTTTGCAGTGTTTGGGTCCAGGGTGAGATCACAGGCATCTGATGGAGAAATCAAACCAAGATGTGTTATTAGTCATTGTGAGAGTCAAACAGGTTTCTGGATTACTTAATACATTATTATATTTGTGACTCAAAAAGCATGGAAAATGACTTACACCAGATCAAATCTCTTCTGTCCGTGACAGTCTCAACATCAGGGATGTCACACTTTGTAAAACCATCAGTGGCCAGAATGCCGTCTTTGTAATGATAGATGGTTGCTCCGGTGTATTTCTTATTTGCTGCAGCTGCTACGAGAAAACAGAACCGACTGTTGTTCTTGAGTGCTTTTGCGAATGAATCTATAAGTTTGGCTTTCTCTCTCATTTTGATTAAAACTTCATCTGAGTAGTACCACTGGCCTTCATTGGTACTTCCTAATTTAGGTGACTTCAAGTAGTCAGCCATCACATCAAGAAAGGTATCCCCCCTTTGCATAGAGGTGAAAACAAAGCACAGAGCATCCTCCACACCTGGAGCAAGAACCTCTCTGTCCAGCTCTGACTGAGTTTGGACGATCTTTGCTCCCTGCATTGTTTCTACACAGGACCTGATGATGTTGATTTCTCTCTCTTTATCATCCAGCCAGCTGTTTAGTTTTTCATTACTGAATGGTGACTTGTCTCTGTCTTCAAAGAGTTTTTGAACTTCTGAGGTCTCTTCTTCTTCTTTACCTTCACGGATGGAGGGAAGGTCCTTCGCCAAGGTCTGCTTGAGGTCAGATTCATAATGATTACACATTTTTTGGAATCTGCTTAACTCTTCTTGAATGTGTGGAAAATTCTCTACAATTCTGTCGACCAGACAATCGTTGCATCTCATTTTTATTTGCTTTAAATCTTCTAGAGCATACTGCGCCTTCCTCACTAGTTCAACACTGATCCCTTTCTCCAACTTAGCAGCACTACTGTCAAAATGTTTTAGTGGCATCAGCCAAACCTTCAGTGGAACAGCATTCTCTTTCCTTTCTTTTAGTAGCTTTGGTAGTTCTGCATAGGTCTCTACTGCCTCTTCAAATGTTGCAGGGTTTCTTTCAAGAATGAAGTCTCCGTAGAATTTGCAGGATAAGTTCTTGGTCAGGTCTTTTTCTTCATCAGTCAGCTTGATGTCAACTTTTCCCTGAATGTCTAATTTGGGGATCTTCTTTATCACAGCTTCCATGCCGGCCTGGATGTTCTGAACATTGCTGACATCTAATTTCTCACTGTCAAACACAAACACAGCATCTGCCCCATAAAGGATGCCAGTGACTACATGTGTTGCAAAGCCCTTTTGAATAATATCTATCTTTTGCTTGCCCATTGTTCCAGGGTCAATTGTACAACTTTCACACATTGACAACTGCTTGAAGGTGGTGGTAGCGTTGTACTGAAACGTCACTCTGCTCTGATTCTTGTATTTCTTCGTATCATTCAGATACCTGGCAGATCCTCCAACTTCAATCAGTCCACCCATGAAACTGGCCTTCAGAGAAGCATCAATATCCAGCAGAAAGGACTTGGATTCAAGGGAGTCAGATGTAGAAATTTCAAATTTACTGCTGGGATGAGCAAATTCAGTTATGTTGTCTTGCAGAGTTTTATCGTCCCATAATGTCAAACCTAAAGAAATTGGAGAACATCAGTCTCATCAGATCTGATAAAGCAGGAGTTTTGTTAATCTAAAGTCACACAATGCAGAATAATTCAGAAACTGGTTTCACAGGCCAACCCTATAGGGTTTTACAGCTTCTACAAGCTGTAAAATGGTTTCACAGTTATAATGTGACCATGACAATTCAAATTTCTTAATTATCACAGTATAAAATATTGTCAACTAATATGTCAACATCCCTAAATTGTTAACTAATATATGGTCACAAATGGATCGAAGCCTGCAAGCTAGTTCAGGCAGTCAACTTGAGATGCACTGCTATACACACATGCCTCACTCCATAATCACCAACCAAGCGCACCCTTCCAATCTGGCGATCTATTTAAACTGCAAAATTTCCCAGCTCTCCCTCTACTCTGTCAATGCCGCTGTTGCCCTGCATCTGTATTGCTGCCTGCTGCTCTGTAAGCCCCACCACCACCCCAGCATCCACCTGTAGGCTCCGGCTAGGGGTTAAGGTATTTGCTTATCACTCCCCAATATCTCTATGTAAACATATCTGCAGGGAATGATGAGGTTGGAGCCTAGATGCCAAAATGTAACTATGCTATACTGCTGGAATAAACTTTTCAAACGTGAGTTGTCTGACTGCACTACATGAAATAATTACAAGGCTTTTGCAAATTCTAATTATACACTACGTATGAATGTTAAATAGGTTAGTTTAAGATAGTATTACCACTTTATGAAATCATTTTTAAAGTTCCTGCAAGCATAGCCATGACAAGAATATGTCTTTAATAAGAATGTAGTCTATATCTAGACTTACCTGGAATCAGTTCATCTTTCCGCGCATCATAGAGCATTCCTAGGGTGAAAGGTCGACCCAGAGCGGCAACCACCGTGATATTTGAAGCCATTTCTTCAATCTGTTGAGAAATACTTAAATTAAACTTTCACCTGTTGTATGAATTTGTATATATTAAAATACTGGTTGTCAACTCTCCTTTTTCACAGAAACAGACAGGACAACAGACTGTGCACAGAAATGCAGTATTTTACTGTAGACACCAGTCTGACTTCTTCAATAAAAGTCTGAAGATATTTCTGTTTTTTTCACCTTCTGTCTCTGTCCGCCCAGTTTTTCCTCACCTGGAGAAGTTGTGGAGATCACTTGAGCTGTGTGCAAGTCTTCCAAGTGGAGCGGTCAGGCTGATGTATTGTGATGCTGCAAGATTACTTATATCTTCTGCTGACTCCTCCCGTGACACCCCTCCAGATGTGAACAACCTTTTTTTATGTAACACGTCTCAACATGCCAAATTGTTAATAACTGAAGTGAAATGAAATGAAACAAAACATGTTTACTCTGGATGTTGGTGATGGTAACTGTTCATTTACTACCACCCCTGGCTTCTATAATTCACGTGTATGCAACATACAATAGTATTTCCATGGTTGGGTTTCTGGATTGTATTTAACAAATATCTTATAGGATTATTCTACTAATCTACTAGACTTTTATTCATTTATGTTTTTAAAAAGGAGTTCATTATTATTCATTTATTATTATTATCTTGGCCCACTTGGTCACTTTGAAGGGGACACCATACCTCTTCATCCCCTCGACTCCCAACCCTTACACTACTTCCCTCGTCCTTCATCCCTAAATCCTCCTACTGTGTATTATTTTGGTTTACCTTTATCCATTTTATGCAATAAACCGCCATAATTCCATATCCTCATTGGCATGGTCTTTGTAAATGAACAGACAGCTGTTAAAAAAATCTATATATTTGACTAAGTAAATGAATATCACAAACGTATTCTGGCATCCTGTGGAAATAAACATCCCCACCAAGTGCTGTAGAGCTCTGTCTACACTATATAGGTTACAGTTTGTGAGCCATTGAAATTGCAGCCATAGACCATTGTGAGGGGAAAAAGTGATGACTGAGAAACTCCGACTAAAGGGGTTATCACAGGGTCTGCATTTTAGCAAGAAGCCAATATCTTTTAGAAACAATCACAAACCCTCACATACTTGCACTCGTGCATAAACAGGCAAGACAAAACAAACTTATCTGTGCAGTCATTCATGTTGGACTTAACTGTATGGGAGCTAGAGAAGAGGGCAAACGTGTTAGGGCTGGTGTAGACATTTTTTATATAGATTATGAGACTTTGTGTTGGCACTGCAGAACTTTCATGACCTTTCTATTAAATAATTGTGAATGATTTCCACCAAACCAATTTTAACACAGATTCAGAGGTAGAGGAGCTGCCATGTCTACTCTCCATATGTAACACCTGATCCTCTCTGTCTCGGTTGGAGAGTGAAAGCGCAAAGATCTTTGTTGATTGGCACTGTGGTCTCATTAAGGTGCAATGTACTTTGTAGGGCTGTCTGGATTTATGACCGGCCCGAAGATTTTCCTAGTCAACTAGTTGTTAGTTCAAGCAATTAGTCGACTGGTTGGTGAGTGTTTGTGATATATATGTGATCATTTAATTATTTGAATATACGTATATATATTTTAACAGCCGTTTAACAAAGACAATGCCAATGACGATGTGTTCTGACACCTTTCTATCAGAACCACCTCAAGTGTCTATGCCAATTCATAACAGAAGTTATCTTAGGACACTTTTCAAATAGAGCAGGTCTAGACCCAACACTTAATAACATTATTATTATTATTAACAACAGTCGCAACAACCACACTAATAGTGGTGACTGATGATGATGAACATGAAGAAGATGAACATGAAGAACAACGATGCACTTCACTTCTTCCCCAGAGTTCTTGTGCTTTCTCGTCTCGCAGGTTCTCATGGATCCTGGTGGAGCCTCCTGCCATGGTCCTGCTTGACTCCCATTGCTAATATTACAGAAATATTATTATTATTATTTTTATTATTATTATTATTATTATTATTACTACTGCAGTTACTAATATTACTATAATCACTGCTCATTGTCCCCCTAGGAGAGAGGAAGAGAGGAGCTCAATGCACCATGGGATGAGCATGATGATATGATAAGAACAATTCAATTTCAATTCAATTTTTCAATTCAATTTTATTTGTATAGCGCCAATTCATAACAGAAGTTATCTCAGGACACTTTTCAAATAGAGCAGGTCTAGACCAAACTCGTTATAGCATTTACAGAGACCCAACAGTACCACCATAAGCAAGCACTTGGCGACAAGGGCAAGGAAAATCTGCCTGTTAAAAGGCAGAAACCTGAGAAACAAGAGAAGGCATTCTCCAGATAGCCATCTGTATTTCGCAGAAGGAACTTTACTTAGGCCAGGAAGTTTAATCTTAGAAAACTAAATAATGTATGTGTGTATGTTTTGTGTATCTGCTGGAACAAAAGCACATTTTTGAAATACCCACCCAAAGGGTAAGTGCAATGAAATAACTCATTCTCTGATCTGTACCAAAGTAAATAGACTCCAACTCTGCTTATAGGCCTCCTCAGCTGAGAAGCATTAAATAAAAGAACAAGAACAAACTCCACTAACTGTCTCTACAGCTGTTAAAGCCCACTGACAGCTGTCAGATCACATCATCAGCTGTCGGCGTCATCAGAAACAGACATCGCTTCACAATTGTGTGAAAAATTCACACAATATTCACATTTGCTGTAAGTGAGGACATTATATGTAATCCATTGAGGTCATGTGTGGCTTATTTTTAACTTTGTGTTTATTCTGTCTCCATGGGAGATTTCTTAAGAACTGGGCTCAGGTCAACAACATTAGGTTTGGCAAAAACACCAGGAATTTCGTCTCTTATGTTCCAGAGATCCAGGGAAGGTATTAGATAAGGACATGTGATGAGACTGATTACTCTGTTTGTACATGTTTCTCACGCAGTCTAAATGAGCTGTCCTTTCTCCTGTACTGTGTCTTTCTCTGCAGAATTTACTCAGGCTTTTATTACATGCAATAAAAGTCTAATTTGTTAAAGATCTTCGGCTGCTGTCGATTTCTTCTGCCACCACAATTGTTATGTTTTACAGTGTTCATTGCTTATCTATGTTTTTTATTATTCTTATTTTTGTTGAATTTAAATGTAATTTCAGTATGTGTTGGTAAGTTTACCAAGCTCTATATCTATTTTTCACCCTGAACAACTTCCAGAGCAATAAGTTAAAGCACAGCAATGAATATATTTGTCTTGCTCTTATTGTAATGTTGGCCCACATTATCCACATAATGAGGCTCAGCAACAATATATATTACAGCATTTTACTCATGCTGCTGTAGTTAGATAAAGGAGAGAGAGTAGCGCTGACTGCACACTCTGGTATTAGATCACACTATGAAATGTGTTTTTACAGGCTTGATTAAGCTGTGGGTGGTATTAGCCAGGAAAGATGGACACACATGTAATTTTAGGACACTGGTTGTGTCTCCAATACATTTTGAACTAATAAATCATTATGAAGTAAAATAAAAGTAAAATAAAATTTGTTGGTCATCTTACAACGAAGCCAGCACCGAAGACAGAGCTCATCATCATCATCACATTTTCTCATATTCATACAAATGAGATACAATCGTATCATACAAGTCTTTGAGAACATCTGCCTCAACACGAGAGCAAATGTGGGACTGGCTTTGTGTCATTTGGTGAAATAAAAGGCTGCAGACAGACGGCGAGCAGAACTTCTTGCTGTTGGACTAGTCAGTAATATTAGCTTGGCTTGCTGTTGTCTTGTGTTTTTGTCTTGTGTGCTAGCAGAGTTGTATAAAGTAATAAATAATAAAAAATAATTATTATTATTTAATTTGGTTTAATAATAATAAATGCATGTGTGCAGCTGTCCATATTTATAACAGAGGTATTTCAACTGGGGTTGTCAAATCGCTTGGAACAATAATGTGAGTCTGTTGTGTGTTTTTCTGCTATAAATTATACTTCACATTAAAACCCTTAAAACATACATCTACTAATTTGACTTCTTTAAAAATTCCAGTCTATGAATATCCAAATGTAGTTCATCATTAAGTATTTGTGATTTCACAAATGATGCCCTTAGGCCCCGCCCCTTAAAACCCCAACTACCAGTGAGCACAGAGAAACTTTGCAGATCAAACATCCTTCTAGAGTCAAACTACATCATTCTGCACTGTGAAGATCAAACATCCAACTGTAGGAACAAGAAGAAAAACAGATTTGTGAGTGGAGGGGGGCTTTAATATTACATTAAAAGTTGGTTAAAAGTGTGAATTAAAGATTCCCTGCATGGACAGAATCAATTTGTGTCACAACACACACAAAAAAAAGGTGCATTAGCCAGCATGTCTGTCGCTGAGGAAGAGGACACGATTTCCAAATGAAGGGCTGGATTGAGTTTAAGGTTTGAAGTTCAGTCGAGCTGCAGACTTCAGTCAATGAGGAGCAGACAGCAGGTCAATATAATTCATTATCAAGTTTACTGAACCAAACATGTGCAACATGGGTTGAGAATATAGCAGAGTGCACAGTCTCTATCTGCCAACATAGGTCTTACACAACGGACACAGGTTCCATATTGATTGGATGAATAAAAAGTTTGCACTTTAAAACTGAGTGCACTGAAACCAAATCAGTCAGCATACCTGTACTGGGAACTAATTGCTTATATTATCACTTTAAGTGCAGTCTGTATTATTTGCCGTTGGCTCTGGACTCCAGCTGAAATGAAACAGTGACGGTGAGGTCACAATGCTGGATGTGAGCTTTAATTTGATGGTGTTCACATCCATTAATATATAAATGAATATCCCTTCGCCAGGTCCATGTCCACTACCCACAGGTTGTTTTCCAAATTAATAAATCCAAGAGAACAGCACTTAAGAAGGGACACAGTGAGGCACTGAAGTTTTAGTTTTCCACAAATTTCTTTCCATTGAATATCAACTTAATTATCTGTTAACATCCTAACATTTGCAGGTTAATCTCTGGTTGTCATTGTTAGCAGACCTCCAGGCTGCAGTGCAGCTCCGTACTCTTCACTGATGAGCCACACTGATTAGACTGAAGTACATGGCATTAGTATCAAATTAATGTTAGTTTCAGTTACAGATCTCTTCTTCCCGTCCCTATCCCTCTCTTGTTTGCCCAAACAAGTCCAGTCTCTACTTCTGTCTTTCTGTTATTTGTTATTTCTGTCTTTGCGAGGTTAAATTGTGATTAAAAACAAATTGAATTAAATTATCATTCCAATATTTTTACTGATTGTCACATTATATAATCACAGTAGTACTCAATACCCCAGAAAAAAAAAATACAAAAATAAAAAAAGGAAGGAAAATAAATAGAAATTACTCAGTATACACAAGGTAACTATACTGTACATACACATTATTTCCTTCATACATCCATGTCGCTGTGTGTTCTTCACAGTCCATCGTTGAAATCCACACAGTTCTGGTGGATGCTGATCCTAACAGCAAACTAACCTGAGTAGTCTGTCTAGTGAGTCTGTTTTAAGGCTATATAATGTGCCATTTGTATAACATGTAAAACGTGTCTAAAGTGCCCTCTACAGTGGTGAGGACCTGCTATATGTGCCCTTTTTTTCTTTCTGCCCCTGCCCTTCAAAAAGTCTGTGCACGCCACTGCTCACCATGTCATAGAATCACCTCTTCAGTTTCACCTATGTGTCGTCTCAAGGTTGCCTTAATTTCATTTATCCACTTTCACTGGTTTCAGCTTAACTAGTTTATGACTCGACTCACTCGTCTGCTCGGGTTGTCGCTTTGACTGAGCTGCTGAACGTCAACCTGGAGGGGGTGGGACTTAATTCCCCTCTCCAATCAGATATCTGTATTGACTGATACAGCCAATAAGAACCAATACTGAGCAACCTCACTTTGACTGACACATTTTTTAGCAAACAGAAAGTAAGAATGAGAATAAAATGAAACTAAGAGATGAACTATCTACTGGGTTACGTAAAGTGTTATTAAAGTTTAAATATATGGAACAAAAGGATCGCGGGAAGTCTCTCATCAGAGAGAAAGCTTCTTGTGTCCACCATCATCAATCTTCTAAGTTTCACATTCCATGACCATAACTCGATATCTCCTGATTTCTGGAACACAACAAGAAGTTCCTGTTCCTGTTTAGGTTGTTCCAGCTGTTCCAGTTGCCTGTCTCGTTACTTCCACGTTCTTTACAGTACAAAATGTTTTACGTTGTTTAATTAAAGAAAATTAAAGGAAATTGTATAATACAGATCTAAACGATGAAGACCTGAACACAAACTATATTCACAGAGCCTTCAATCTAAACAGCCTCGTCCTGCATTAGAAAGGTGGTCAAAATAACCAAAGAGCTAATAGAACAAAAGAGAAGTATGAGGGACAAGAAAACACTTACTTTTTCATTTTTATTAGTAATTAATCACTGGGGATTAATAATACACTCGTAAATGGGGCACCACCTCCGTTGTTTAGCTACTGGAATAATCCGGAGGAAATTATTCCACAGATCTAATCAAATCAATTTTAAATCAATTTATTAAGTTTCAAAATCTATATTTAATCTCATATTTCTGAAGTAGTGATTTCTTTTACACGATTCATCGATTTCCCCGCATCAAATCAAACCTGCACCGACAAGGACATACGGTTATATATGTTTATTAACTAAACTAATGCAGAGTAAATAGCATGAAATGATAAACAAACAAATGACAACAAGTAACAGAATATGTGGACAATATATGAATTATTACTATTAGGTGATTCAGGAGCGATGGTGGATTTTGCGATGCGGCAGTAAGTTTAAAATATTACGAGAGTAAATTTTAGAACTGAGAGGCCCTAATCCAAAATTCTCTTAAACGTAAAAGATGGGAATCAAAGCTTACAGACAGACACCAGCTCTTCTTCATGTGTGTGAATCCGGCTGTGTACCGGAGAGTCAGCCTCCTTTGTTTGTAGATGGAACTTGGAATGATTCCAGGTCCTTGGCTTTCAGCTCAACTGCGGCTTTACGTCACTGATCCAACAGGCCGAAGGGAGTTGTAGTCCCTGGTTCCAGTGGCAATCTCTCCAAAAGGCCCAGCTGTGTGCGCTAGTGAGCGTTGGGGGGCAAGGTGGCTGGAGAATAATGTCTTTATTCAGCTGGAAACGTTTATACGTCTTCTTGAGCAGTCAACTACTGCGACGTCCTTCTGGCTGATGATGAATGTCTTAGAGTGGTTGGTCTTCAGCTTTGACTGTAAACTAATTCAGCTTCTTGTTTAAAAATAACTGCAGGATGAAACGCTGGGCTGGAGAATTCTCCAAGAAAGTCCAAGAATTAGATTAAATTCACTTTCTGTGAAAAGGCGACAATACTTGACGATAAGACTACAAAAATATAAAAGAAGAAATTCGTTTGTGTCTTGAGCTTTCAAAATAAAAGTACTTGAAAAGTACTTCAGCACGGCAAGTTATTACTTGAGGAAAAAATCAACACGTGTCGCAAACGAAGTAAAATAAAGTACGGAAATTAAAGAAAAAGCGAGAATAAATAACGAGTTGATACAAGAGAGAGAAGAAAAGCGAGAGGAGCGAAGAGTGACCGGAGTCTATCTCTTATAGCTTTTATTCTGGAGGCGGAACTGGACGAGAGGAGCTGACCGCGCGCGTCACTTCCTCTGATGATAATTTGATATACGTAACTTTATCAACTTACTCCTATCGTGTTTTAAAGTTTCGAGATCATAATTCACCGTTCACAGAACCCACCATGACTTAATACATAGTTCACATGTTTTAACATAACATAACCGAAATTACTTAATGTAAAGGAAAAGTGGAACTTGATTAAAATCATTAAATCATTAATCATTAAACACACACATAAAACAGCACTGATGGACTGTACATATTTCGTATAGTGCTAGATTAATCCTTGTTATAACAAATATGTGTCAGGCATTTACTTATTGTATTACTATACAGTTATCAAACAAAGTTCGTTTTGAAAGTACCTTACGCTATACCAGAACCTTACCAAAAGGTGGCGCTGTGGCTCCATCAAACATTCAGACATTTTACACATGATTTTGTAACTTAGTCCAATCTGATGACAGAAACATCAGACAAACATTACATTTGCGTCCTTCTCATGCTGGATGGCAATCTGTTAATTAGGAGGAGATGAAATTTTACCATAATACTCCAACAGAACTAAATCTATATCCGTGCAACTGTTGTTACTGCTTCCTAGATTGGAATGTCCACTATCAACAGAAAACATCGTCATTTACACTTTAGAGGAAGGGGTGTCAGAATACCAGATGTGGATTCCAGAGGAGTTTCTCTCTGGAGGTGGACCTGTCAGACTAAAAGAGATGTAAACACATTTCAGGGATATCTAACCCTGATTTACAATCAAAAAGGCATTTAATTATCACACACGATCTACTTTAGGTGTAGGGTGTCGTTCTGATCTGTGGAGAAGTCAGTGTTCTGTTAAAGAGGATAAAACATATTGATACCTTAGAGATCCCATCTGAGAATCTGAAAAGAACCAGGCTCTCTGTGCAGGAGACTGTCGGCGCCACAGTCTTACCTCCCCTCCTGGGTCAAAAAGGTCAAAGGGAAAGAGGAGGCCTTGAAAACTCTCCTGGTGGAACAAAATCAAAATAATATGATGATTGTTGAATTAAGAGACAGATAAAGCGTCTCTTGTAGAGGAAGACGAGGACAAGGTCCTACAGAAGTGTATTCAACTATTATGACAGTTCCTAAAATCAGGAACACTCTTCCCTGATGCAATAATCAGAGGAAATAATCAGCTAGAACTCCCTCCAAATCCTTCCTCATTTTACACAAACTTCCAGTTATTATGTTCACTACAACTATAACATAATATCAATACATATATTAAAAATATAAACACATGAAATGTTTGAATAAGAAATAATGGCATTATACGTTTGCACAAACCCAAGGGGGGTTCCAAATATATTTATTTAAAGGACCAGTGTGTAGGATTTAGTGGCATTTAGTGATGTGGTTGCAGATTGCAACTCACATGCTTCACCCTCCCTTTCCAAGTGCGAAGGAAAACTACAGTGGAAAAACCTCACCAGTCCTATCTGAGCTAGTTTTTGTAAAAGGGTCCAACTGCAGCACCACAGACCTCCTTCATTAAGCCTCTCTCCTCAGGCCCCTATGATCTCTCTCCTCAGGCCCCTACAATCTCTCTCCTCAGGAACCTACGATCTCTCTCCTCAGGCCCCTGCAATCTCTCTCCTCAGGCCCCTACGATCTCTCTCCTCAGGCCCCTACGATCTCTCTCCTCAGACCCCTACAATCTCTCTCCTCAGGCCCCTACAATCTCTCTCCTCAGGCCCCTACAATCTCTCTCCTCAGGAACCTACAATCTCTCTCCTCAGGCCCCTATGATCTCTCTCCTCAGGCCCCTATGATCTCTCTCCTCAGGCCCCTACAATCTCTCTCCTCAGGCCCCTATGATCTCTCTCCTCAGGCCCCTATGATCTCTCTCCTCAGGCCCCTACAATCTTTCTCCTCAGGCCCCTATGATCTCTCTCCTCAGGCCCCTACAATCTCTCTCCTCAGGCCCCTATGATCTCTCTCCTCAGGCCCCTATGATCTCTCTCCTCAGGCCCCTACAATCTCTCTCCTCAGGCCCCTACAATCTCTCTCCTCAGGCCCCTATGATCTCTCTCCTCAGGCCCCTACAATCTCTCTCCTCAGGCCCCTATGATCTCTCTCCTCAGGCCCCTATGATCTCTCTCCTAAGGCCCCTACAATCTCTCTCCTCAGGCCCCTATGATCTCCATACCATATTGTATGAAATATAGTGTAGTATATTGTATGTCTATATTGCATGAAGTGGATCACTGGTGACTTTCAGCAGAATGGCTGTAGTAACGGCAAATGTTGAAAACAGTACAAGAACACGTAGACTACCTGTCCTCAAAAAGCCTTTGCATTTAGTTCAAAGTCAACAGCTAACACGGTCACTCTTTAAACCGACACCAGTAGTGCAGCTGCCCGTTCCTCATTAGAATCAGAACCAGAAATACTTTATTGATCCCGTGGGGAAATTTGTTTGTTACAGTTGTCCTATTCACACACTGTTAAAGAATAGAAATATTACTTATAATACAATATCTAACATAATATAAAGAATATGAATGTATGTATAGGTATATACATATAAGTAAAATGTATATCTAATAAGAGTGAATATTTAGCAAGTGCTGCTAAGGTGAAATAAGTTCAAATTTACTCAGCTCACTCCATACAGACTCTACTACTCATGCTTAACTAAGAGTGGCTCACAGAACAAGGGGCTTCAGGATGGGGGGCTCAAGTTGGACCAAATTTTAGCTAGTTCATTTTGGGCTACAGTGGAAACATGGCAGACTCCACGAAAGGTGATCTGCAGCATCAGTAGAAAAAACTGCTCATTCTAAGGTAATGAAAACACAATTCTTATTTTCAGGTCATATGAAAACATATCTATGAATATTATATTACATTTCTGCCTATAGATCCCCCGGTAACACTTTATAATGAGTACACACTATTAAGCATTAGTTAAGCATGAATAAATACTGAATTCATCATTTATAACGCATGAATACACATTAGTATGTAGTTTATAAACACAGTTAAAAATGTTTTATTCATCATTGATAAGCACATTAGTTATGGATTGGTAAATACTGAATTCATCATTTATAAAGCATGATTCTGCTGTAAATAGTCATTACTATGTGGTTTATAATCACAGTTCTAAATGTTTTACTCTTCATTGTACTGTACATTTCTGCATGCACTTGCACATCCACTATTCAGACATGTATTAATGATTAGTGACTGTGTTAGCAGATGTTCTATAAAACTCACAACAAATTCATTTTCTAATGAATGCCTATAAACAGTGATTAATGCAGGAATTCACAGTTACAAAGCACTTACTACTCGTTAATTAAGTATTTTGTGCGAGCTTATCTAAAGTGAGCACTATCTATGGTTTATTAAGGATTTACAAATGAGATATAAAGGCTGACAATGCCTCGAGACTCACAAAATGTTCAGTTATCTTAACAGACGAAGGAGAGACACAACACAAAGGGATATAGAACATATTGTATTGATATTTACTGCAACTTCCCAACATATTGTATGAAGACGAACAAGGGTGGTTTATGAAGACATGCTATTGTTGTGATCTTATCTGTTTGGGACGTGTACGTTGAGTTAGCAGTCCCGCTCTCAGCACGTTGGTGGGATGTTACGTCATATTATGGACCTGTGCTTGTATATATTTACACTACGTGCCACATTCACCCATCAGTGATGGCAAAGCCCATTGAACAGAAACTAACTCATTCATACACATTCACAGACTGATGCACAGCATCAAGAGCAATTCGGGGTTCAGTATCTTGCTCAAGGACACTTTGACATGTGGCGGGAGGAGCCAGGGATCGAACCAACAACCTTCTGATTAGTAGACAACCTGCTCTTTTTCTGAGCCACAGCCGCCCAGTACAGTGCAGCACAGTCCTCCACAGCGTAATCAGATATTGGTTAGAAATGTGCAGCAACGTAGCTACGGTTACTAGCGATGTTGCTATGGTTACTGTTACTGGTATGGTGTAGCCATGGATGTTAGCTACCAATGTTGATATGGCTAGCTATAGATACTACTGGTAATACAGACATGGCTACAGTTTCCCTACAGTAGAGTAATGTACACGACCTGCGCTACCTGACGATGGAGTCTTAATGAATAATTCATTGGGATTGTCTCATTATTTATCCGTTCTTTACAGAACAAACTGTTTGACATTGTTTCATTAACACTGTTTCCTCTTTGTCACCCTGTTGATGTGAGAGAACAGAGTTGACTCTGTAATACTCTTCAACACTCGTACTAATTAAATGAAGTACTGGAGGCTTTGTGGTCCCTCAGTTGACATTTCTCCAAAGGTTGGAAAAGGCTTGAGATATTATGTAGGCTGCTGCCCTGGGTCAACAGTTCACCCGAGGAATGCTCTCAGATGCTTGAAGTTATTTAGAAAAGAAATCAATGAGATGTGAACAATCAGTAACATCAGTGATGTGGGTGCTGGGGTGAGGGAGAGACTACAGACTAAATCCTAACCGACTTTGAAATCACGTTGCATCATGCACATTGGTTTGTCTAATCTCAAACATGCACACACTACAGGATTTGAAAATAATGTGACCTTCAGAACGCGTGATCTCATGGGGAAGCAGATGTAAACAAAATGAGGTAGCGGAACAACTTGCTGTAGTAAGGTTAATGCTGTTCAGAAATGGTTGGGGGGGATGAGGTTAACAGTGAGAACTGGAGGTATTAAGGTTAGGGTTCTAACCCTTATCCTTCAGTTTTAATACCTCAGAAAAAGTTTACCACTTCTGTACCGCAGTAATCATCCAGATTTTAACTCCTGGATCTATAAACCCCTCACATTACCAGGTAATCTAGTACCAAGATTGTCTGAGTTATGAATTACATTTAGGAAACTGTATATACATATACATATAATAGGTAGAAAAATATACAATATATTGACAGTAATCAGTAATACCCTAAGTTAGTGAACATACATGTTTTTTATGTACGGTTACATAATAGCCGATTTGTGCAGTTTCTCAATATATAGTATAGTAGGATAGTGATCGATATAATAGCATATAATACAATATATAGTAATATGATACTGTGGGATGAACACAGGAGCTGCTGTTGACTCTGTGTTAAAACAACATGAACTAAAGTAACATCTAACATGAATCAGTGCTAACATTAGCAAGCTGGGCTAACACTTCCACTTTCTAAGTGGAATACAAACTTAAC